GTCCTGGGGAGTTCAGGGGACCCCACACCAGGCCTCCAAGGCCTCTCATGCAGGATGGACGTGGGCTGCTATTTGGCCTCGGGGGCTGCGGGAGGAGGACACAGACTCTTCAGGGGCTTTCCCCCAAACTTACCCCAGAAGGAAACTGTGTATCTGAGCTCACTCCCCAGAAGCAGCCAGGGAGCCAGAAATATCTTCAATGCATCTCCCGTTTAGTCTTAAAAACCCCGGGAGTTTACCGCGTTCTATTCCATAACATCCTCGTGTTTCCTTCCAGAGAAAACACACCGATTTTTTCCAAAACTGCGGTCAGGTGCGGTGCCAGGTGCCACGTTTATCCCAGGCCTACCGCCACGGTGCCAGTGAGGCCGCCTGGAATTCCCGGCGAAGTGGGGGTGCGGGGGGTTCCGCCGAGACGGAGCGGGCCGGGGTGGTGCGGGCGCCCCCTCGCCGTCCTGCCCGCGGGCGTCACCTAAGCCGCCGTTGCCATGGACCCGCGGCAGATGGCCGGGTTTAGGGTTCCGGGGCGGGCGGCGCGCACGGGATTAGGTGAATTAGGGAGCCGGAGCAGTGCCGCCATCGCCGCGCCATGGAGCCCCCAGCCGACCCCGCCGACTCTGCCGACCCCGCGCGCGTCCCGCAGCTCGGCAAGTGGGCGCTGGTGCGCAGCCTGAACCAGGCGTTCAAGACCTATGCTGTCCTGCCGGTGAGGCCCGGACCGTGAGGGGAGATGGGAGTGGGAGGGCGCCTCGCCTCGGGCCTCAGTCCCCACCCCGCCCCCCCTCCCCGTTAGAAGCTGGGCGGGCCACAAACAGGGTCGCTAAGCTTCAGGGTGTGCGTGGACTGCAGCCCTAGGATACCACCTGCGGTCTCTGACCTCCCCCAGCGTGAACTTGGCCGCGGCTGCCCTTTCCTGGGAGGGGAGGTTTTGCATCTGGGAAACCCAAGCCAGGCAGGCCATGTCTGGGCAGGGGTGTCCTGCATTGCTCAGGTCCAAAGCAGGGAGCACCTCCAGGTGCACAGAGGGACCCGAGCCATAGTTTGTGGACTGGCTGACCGCTGGTGGAGGGGAAAGCTCGGCCCACTGGTCTCCTCTCCAAACTATGTTTAGCAACTAGACACTGGCAAGACGCTTGGCTCACGTTTCCCATCTGTGAAAATGGGGTGATAAAACCAGTGTCCCGGAGTGATCACGAAGATAACGAGGGGCAAAATGTCCTGAAACAGACTCCATAAGCAGTGACTGACCCCAGGCCTGGTCCTAGAGTAAGGAAGAGACAGAAAGGGCTAAGGCCCCATGGGGAATTATTAATGTTGGCCCAAGACCGGCTTGGTGCCTGGGAGGAAGGAGGGTAGACAGAAAGAACAATGTGCATTTGCGTGGGTCTCTCATCTTTACATGCACTGACTCCTTCCATTTCAAGGCTGGTGGAAACTGAGGCCCAGAAAGATTGAGTGCCTCACCCAAAGAGACACAGCGTTAGTGGTGGAGCTGGGACTACAAGCTAGACATCCTGACTATGTGTTCACTGTGGATGTGTGCTGGCTTTCCTGGAGGGGAGGCCCCACAGGGGTTTTGGGGTACTCCTGAGAACATTTGAACAGACCCATTCTAGGAAGTCATGACTGTGGGACTGGGAGCCTGCATAGCTACTGGGGCCTGGGAGACCCTCTGCCCTGGTCACAGATTTGATAGGAGAGAAGCTGGGACTTGCCCCACGTTACACAGCCATGCTGAGGCATGTGTCATGTCACAAATGAGATCTTCCATTCAAAATGAGACCAAGCAAGGTGCCCCATACAGTGTGTAAAGTTGTCACGGAACATGGTGTAGGAATGGGGCCAGATGCAGTGGTGGGGTGCCTGGGGCTAGCCATGGGAATGGAAGGGAGTGGTGGGGTCCTACCTGGAGCCTGGTTCCCCTTTCTCACCTGCCTCCTGCCCCTCAATGAAGCTTCATCTTCTTTCGTGGCTTCCTCCTTCCCTTCTCCCTCTGAGCCAGTGACTCTTGACCCACCCTGGTTTTGGTCCTGGCTCTGTCCTCCAGATGCTAACAGTCCTGTCAGTCACTGGTTTGATGAGTGACTGTGGCCAGGTTCCTTTCTTTCTTTGGCCCTCAGTTTCTTCAGCTGTAAAATGAGGATCCTTACAACCTTCCTGCATTGCAATGCTTCAACAACTTTCCCTAGGGCCACAGGAATGTTCCCCTTCAGAAGTCCTAAGACCCCAGAATTCTCCCTAAAGCCTCTCCCCTTCCATCTGAAACTGTTTCTTTAAGTCTGACCTAGAGCAGAGATAGTTTGGTCACTGCCCTTTGGTGACAGCCCTAAGTAAGAAGAGTTCTAGTCCTGTCTGTTTGCTGTGTGGCCCCAAGTGCTTCACTCAGCCTCTAGGAATCTCCATTTCCTGCTCACGTGAAGTTTTTGTGATTTTGGTTATTTTATCTTCTCCCAGGGGAAACAAACATTTTCTGTGTGCCAGGCCCCGTGCTGGGCTGGGGGATACAGGTGACTTAGACCCTTGCCTTCCAGTTGCCCCCAGCCTGTCTCCAGCTTGCCTTCAGGGCCCATGAGCCATCTGGGCACGGAGGACTCTATCAGTGCTTCCTGTTTTGCTCACTGAGCTACATGTGGGGCTGGGCCCAGGGAATGTCAGGAAAGAGCCCTGGATTTGGGGTTTCTCAGACCTGGGCTTCAGTCCTGGCTCTGCTACAAAACAGCTGTGTGACCTTGGGCATGTTTCTTGACCTCTTTGAGGAGAGAAACTGGAGACAGTCCCCTGGCCACATACTGTCGCCCACAAGCGAACGCGCTCCCCACCCCTTCTCTCTCACTGAGGCCCGCTCTGGGCTGGGCTCCGGGGAGCCACAGGTGAGGGACTCAGACTCAGCCCCACCCTAGGGAGCTCCAGGCCAGTGGGGAAGGGGAGCAGACCCAGTGTGGGGTGGCTGTCAGGGGTAAGCCCAGGGTCGGGGAGTGCAGCAGGGCTTGGGCACAAGCAGCTGTGAGGATTAAATGGGGCAGTTTATGGGATGCAGCCTGCGGAGCCCAGGCCCACAGTGAATGCTCCGTAAACAGGAGGTCTCTTCCACTCCCAAGCCTCTCCAAGTTTTCTTACTGTTTCTGAGAGGAAGTTTGGGTTTGGGACTAGCCTGACTCTATCATGTGCCAACCTCCCATTCATATGAAGAGAGGGTCCACAGGGGCAGCTGTGGCTGGAAGAAAGCACATAGATGGCAGTGGTCCCGTAAGACTATAATACCATATTTTACTATTCCTTTCATGTGTATGTTTAGATATGTTTACATACACAAATATACACCATGGAGTACGACTATAGTATTTAGTACAGTAGCAGGTTGTACAGGTTTGTAGCCTAGGAATAAGAGGCTACCCCATCCAGCCTAGGTGTGTAGTGAAGTACACATCTAGGTTTGTGAGGTACACTCGATGACTCCAAGATGTTCGCACAGAACTTATCTCTGGTGTTAAACAATGCATGACTGTAGCTGGTTCTGATGGGAATAAGAGGAGGCTGAAACAGTAATGAGCTGGTCTTGGACTCACTGAGTTCAGCCTTCACTGAGAAATGTGGAAATTGAGGCTCAAAGAGGTCAGCGACTCACCAAGGCCAGGCAGGGCCTGAAACCCAGTCTTCTGACTCCTAGCCCAGAACAGATTCTGTCAGACCATTCCCATGGGTTTACTTCATTGTGAATCAGTTTTATCAGCTGTTACATTTTTATTTGCAATTTGATATTAAGTTATATTCTTATTAGAATGTCTGAGTTCTTCCACACTCCTAGGGAGTTTGAGTACCATCCAAAAAAGAATACTTTTATTAGGATTAGAATAAAATCTAAGCTTGTATCCCAAGGCCAACAAAGGGCCTATGTATCCTGGACCCTGTCTACTTCTCTGAGCTCCCTTTTGCTCATTAGGTCCTGCCTCCTGGCTGTTCCTTCCTGCCACAGGGCCTTTGCACATGTTCTTTCCTATGCTGGGATTACTGTCCCCTGCTTTTCCCTTTGCTGACTGCTTGTCACCCTTCAGGTGTTAGTTCAGCGATTCCCTCCACGGAGCAGCTCCATTGGCTACTGGGTCTAGGTTGGTTGGCTCTGTCATTCTCTACCACTGGCTAGTTTATTCCCTTGACAGCACTCACCCCAGTATCCAAAGTGATCATGCTGATCTATTTGCTCCGTTGTGTGTCACCACCTCTAACTTGAATGTAGACTCCATAATCACTGCTCAACCCCCAGCATTTAGATTAATCAGTGCTTTGTACTCAGTAGGTAATCAATACATGTCTGTTGAATCCATCAGTGCTGAATGTGGTTGTTCTCAGTCCATTTCTCTGACTTGGGATTTTACGTTTGACTCTCACGATCCCTTACTGAGTGAGTAGTGAGACCCAGGCCCTGGGCCAGATGCCACAGAAATGCAAAACGACATCCTCCTGCGAGGTCAGGGCGCTCCCCACATGCCAGAAGACAATGTGGCTGAACCCTTATCTAGGGCCCAGCACGGAGTGGTGTCCCTGTGAGGAACCTGTCATGATGATGATGAAAATCTGCCCTGGAGGTAAAGAAGGATGCAGCTCACCCATGGTCTGGGTGTCCTCTGGTGTCACCTCATGTTAGAGAGGAAGTGGTTTGAGTGGTCTGGTGTTTCTGTCTAGACTCCAGTGAATCTGTCATACACATGTAGAGTGTAGATCCATGGGGAGAGCTGGGCTTCAAGAGGCTTTGGCTCCCTCTGAGCCTCTGCTAACTCTTCTGTAAAATGGGAACATGGCTGCTCTAGAGGAGGGACTGATGACATTGCATAAATGGCCAGCCCAGGGCCTGCCCTGCTCCAGAAGGTTTCTAGTAAGTGTGAGTCCCCTTCTCTTCCCCCTTCTGTGGTTGGCCCAGAGCCTCTGGTGGTAGCAGGGGGATACAGGGCTGCCTGGAAGGGGGCTCCCTGCTCACCTGGCCTGGGACTCTCTCTCGCCCATAGGGGGACTATGTGTGGATGGACCTGAGATCGGGGCAGGAGTTTGATGTGCCCATCGGGGCAGTGGTGAAGCTCTGCGACTCTGGGCAGATCCAGGTGGTGGACGACGAAGGCAATGTGAGTAGTCCCCTCCCTCCTCCTGCCCCATGCCTTGGGGGAAGATCTGGGCTGACAGCTGCCTCAAGGCAGGGAGATGATCTAAAGGAGATGGAGGCTGTGCCCGTGCCCCCACTTCTGCCTCTTAGATGCCTCCTTCCATGAGCCTTCCCCAGCACCCCAGCAAGAGGGAACCCCCTGCCTGCCTCAGGCTACTTGTTCTGTTTCCACAAGCACTTCAGTTCACTCTGCCTAGTGTTAGAGATGTGTGTGTGTATGGTGGGGTTTGAGTGCTGGGGGAGCAGGCTAGAAGCTCCTCAGACACGGAGGTGCTTTGGGGGCAGACTGACTGCATTCAAATCCCATCTCATCCACTTGTTAGCTGTGCAGACTTGGCCAAGTCTCCTTCCCTCCTGAGCCTCAGTTTCCTCTTTGTAAAATGAGGATAATAGTAAGTATCTCACAGGGCTGTTGACCCATATGTGAGATCACACGTGTAGAACACCTCAGTGAAGTTAGTGCTAGTCTGAAAGTTAAATGAACGCCCACAGCCTTACTGTATTGGGTTACTGACATCACATGAATCCACTGTCCACCTTGACACTGTCCCGGAAATTGGTCTCACAGATTAACCCTTTATCTGTGGCCCAAAAGGAAAGGGACCCCAGAAGTGTAAGTTTTCTAGGTAGTGATAGTGGGGCCTCGGAGAGTTCTGAAGTCAGGGGCCTGCCCTGGAGAAGGTGGCTGGTTCACGTGCGGGCCCGGAGGGGAAGCTCTGGGGCCTCTGAGCATGTGTGCACATGTGTGTGTCACTGGGGGTATGCAGATGGGGTGCAGAGCACACAGGTGCAGCTTAGCAGGGATATGAAGAACCCAGGGAGATTCAGCTCTGCCATAATGTGGGCTGTGCCCCATGGTGTGCCAGGGGCTGGGGACATAGAACTGGACTGAGTACCTGTCTTAGCCTCCTGGTCTGAGGGAGGAGAGTCAGGAGAAAGAGGGTGCAGGGACTTGAAACCAAGGCTCTGCTGGGGATGAGAGGAGGGCTCAGGATCCTCGAGGCCAGGATTGACATGGAGTTGGCAAGAGCATCCCACATATTCCTGCAGCCCTCAGGTGCATCCCCTCAGCGTTTACAAGGCCCTTTAACCCAAGTTCTGTCTTTGGACTCTCATGGCATCTGTGGAAGGCAGGGAGGGAAAGAACTGTTACCCCATGAGGAAACTGAGGCACATAGAGGGACCACGCAGCCAGTCACACAGCTAGTAAGTGGTGGTGCTGGCATTAGAACCCAGGACTTCTGTCTTCTATGCGTGAGTCTCCCCTGTCAGCATTATCTCAGTAGAACCCAGGACTTCTGTCTTCTGTGCGTGAGTCTCCCCTGTCAGCATTACCTCATTAGAACCCAGGACTTCTGTCTTCTGTGCGTGAGTCTCCCCTGTCAGCATTATCTCAGTAGAACCCAGGACTTCTGTCTTCTGTGCGTGAGTCTCCCCTGTCAGCGTTATCTCAGTGGCGACTTTAGGGCTCAGGTTCTGCTAATCACATTTTTGACCCCTGGGCTGTAGAACCCAAGTGCTTCCAATATCGCTCCAGAGGCTCCAGTTCTAGGACCCTCTAGGAAGCTACTGTGAGGGTGCAGCCCCAGAAGGGGAGGCACAGGCTGGCTGGCAGCACAGACGGGCCTGCTAACCTGCCCAGAGCCCCCAGGGTGGGGACCAGGGACTCTGTCTGCAGGCTTGAGTTTCACCTGGGTCATGTTGCATGTCAGATGGTGTCCCGTAACTCTGAGTCACCGAATCCCAAAGGTCCCCTTCCGCTTCTCCTCCACCCAGGCCCTGAGAGTGGGGGCTGCAGGAGGGGTGGGCATGACTGGCTGGCAGGGGCATTTCAGGAGGCTGGGGTTTGCATCCGTGGCATTGGACCCCCAGGGCTTCCAGACCCCTTCTTTACAAGCCTTTCCCACCCCCATTCCATCCCCTCTTTCCCCACTCCAGGCTGTCATCTCTTACCCCTCTGTCTGCCCACAGACTCCTAGCAACCTGAGAGCAGGGAACAGGCCAGTCCCATCTGGTTCCCCAGAGTTCATCAAGGGGTCTGCCCAGAGAACCTCTTGGTAAAGACTCGCCGAGTGATGAATGAAAGGTTATGGTTCCACTCCCCACTGGAATCCCAGTGTCTTGCCTTTGTCCAAGCCATTTCTGTTGCCAGATACACCCCTCCTTCCCTTCCTCTAGGGAGCAAGTTGTCCCCGCTCAGTCCAGGCCAGCTCTTTCCCAAAGGCATACTTGGTCCCTGGAATTGACCATGTTCCCCTCCCCCAGTTGCTGGCATTCCTTCAGGCCAGGCCTCAGCTACTGCCCTGGTTACACTTTGGCCCCTGGTAGGTACCTGTGGACCTTGACCTGAAGGGTGCTGGCCTCTGTTGGGAGTCCTCCCATGCAGGAAACAGTGTGAGCGGCGCAGCTACTGGGCAAGTCATTTTACCTCTTGAGTCAGACTCGTCACTGTTAAATGGGGTCAGTGATTCTCTGTTAGGGATGTTAGAAGAGCAAATGTAAATCAAAAGGCAGTTGAGTGACAATGCCCAGCTCTGGCTGAGCATTTACCAAGCAGCAGCACTCTACAGACCTGGCAGGAGAAAGCTGTCAACAAAGATGGATGTCGTGATCGCATCCATCAGTCCTCCCAAAACCCTGGGAAGAAGGGACGCTTACTCTCATTCCCATTTCGCAGCTGAGGACGTGGAGGCTCAGGAGGGTAAACTGATGTACTTTGGGGTCCGGGGTCATGCCGTAACTGAGCACTGTCAACCTGTGTGCGGAACTGTTTTGGGGAGGGATGTGGGGACCTGAGGTTGGGGTCAAATGGGGATGGCAGACAGCCTGCCCAGGAGCCCTCTCCCCTCCTGTCCACACTGGGGCCTAGGATAGAGGCACAGAGCAGGGACGGTGTGGGGAGATTTTCCAACGGGATCAGCTTGTATAAGACATAGGGTGCCTGGGAGAGAGGAATGTTCCACACGGGACTGGAAAGTCCAGGCAGGTTCCCTAACGTCAGCACCCAACCCCTCGCCTTGGGGAGGCTGCATGAGAGCCTACCCTGTGTTGAAGTGCTGCTGGCCTGGAAGTGCCATGGAGTGTCAGGGAAACTGGGCTGGGGGGCTCTGCCCAGCGCAGCCCCTGATCCCCTTGAGGGCCTGGGCAGGCTGCCACCGTCCTCCAAGCCTGTTTTCTCATGTGAAGTGAGGGGGCTGAAATGGGGGACTTCTGGGGTCTCTCCATGACTGACTTCTGCCTCTCATTCAGACCTGGTCCCCTGCAGTCACCAGCCAGCTATCTGTCCCATCAGAGGCTCCCTGCCACATCATTTGTGCCTAGCCCCTGTGCAAGACACCGTGGCCTCAGATGTGGCCCTGGAGGCAGGGGGACAGCACAGGTGAGGGTGGCCAGCACTGTCAGGGGAGGCTTCAGAAACTGGGAAACCTCTGAGCCAAGCCTCGAAGGCTAAGGAGAAAGAAGGTAGAGGGAATGGTGGAGCAAAGTCACAGAGGCCTTTGGGGACACGAAACCCATGTTCCCTGGCTAGGAAGTGCCAGGGGTAGCTGGGATGGAGGTTAGGGATCCCTGTGTCCAGCACATGCGGGCCCTTGATGCCAGGCTGAGGAGCCCAGGGGAGTTAAGGAAGGGCTGAGAGCCCCAGAGTGACAGGGTCAGGAGCGTGCCTCAGGAAAGGACCAGGGGATGAAGGATTTGATGGAAGGGCCAGTGAGAAACGGTGGTCTCAATCAAGGTGTGGGCTTGAGGGTGGTGAGGAGGGCACTGCCCACTCAGCAGCCTTTTAGAGGGTTGAATGGGCAGGACTGGGTGACCTGTTGGACTGGGGTGGTGGTGGTGGGGAGCTGATGTCCAGATTCATGCTAGTGTCCAGCTGTTGGGGTTGGCTCTGCCAGAAGGGACCCGGAGGAGGAGCAGGTGGGGGAGGACATGGCATGTGCATCACATCTGCTCAGCAAGTCTCAGGGCCTGAGCTGGGGGATGGCAGAGAGGTCCCCTTTTCCCCCAAAAGGCAGGTCCTGGGGCTACTTGGTCATGGCATTTGGGGATGGGAGGGCTGAGGTACACTCAGGCGGTGGCCACACTTCCCTGAAAGTCTGGGATTTTGTGAAGGTGCTGGAGACCCCCCTCTGGGGTCGGGGAGGGCCCCAGGGCCCTGAGGAAACCAGGGCTATGCCAGCTTGTTGAAAGAGCCGGTGCACTTCCCAAATGCTCACCCATCTGCCACCACAGGGCAGGTGGGGAATACTGCAGAGTAAGGAGAGCTGGGCAAGCAACCTGTGTCCTCCACTTTAGCTCACAGGTCCCGAGAGTTCACACCCCTTGCTCCCACAGCTCATCAGCAAGCCCCAGGAAATACCACCTGGTGGGTCCACTTCTCCCCAGCACCACTGCTACCACCCCGCCTTCCGTCTTTCCCTTGAATGTGCCAAGGCTTTGCCAGCCTGAGCCGTTGTTTTGCTGTTCCCTGGACCTGGAGCCCTCTGCCCCCCCGCCCCCACCCCCCAATCTTTTTACAGTGGTCTCTTTCTCTTCCTTCATGCCTCAGCTCATACGCCACCCCCTCAGAGGGGCAGACCCTGACCAACCCATCTCAAGCAGCTCCCCCCATGACTCTCCACCACATACACCTGTTGAGGTATTCTTGGCACTATCTGAAATCACTTTTTTTTTTTTTTTTGAGACGGAGTCTTGCTCTGTCGCCCGGGCTGGAGTGCAGTGGCCGCATCTCAGCTCACTGTAAGCTCCGCCTCCCGGATTTACGCCATTCTCCTGCCTCAGCCTCCCGAGTAGCTGGGACTATAGGCGCCCGGCTAGTTTTTTGTATTTTTCAGTAGAGACGGGGTTTCACCGTGTTAGCCAGAATGGTCTCGATCTCCTGACCTCGTGATCCGCCCGTCTTGGCCTCCCAAAGTGCTGGGATTACAGGCTTGAGCCACCGCGCCCGGCCTGAAATCACTTTTTAATGTTTTTTTTTTTCCACCGGAGCCTGAATTTGAGACCAAGCCTGTCTACCTCTAATTAGTACCCTTTCCACTCCATCCTGCAGAGGGCCTGAGGGAACTCTGATCCCCTTACTGACAGCAGTCAGCTGGGGCCAAAATCCCTGCCCTGCCCACCTCTTAGGTCTGCGAGAGAATCCCCTAAGAGAAGGAGCCGTCCTTGAGGGGTAGAGGTGGCTAGTACCATCCTGAAAGGCTCAACCTTATTAGAACTGACCGTGTTTGACCGCCAGACAGGTCAAGGCCCTTACCGGGGTTAGCACTCACCCCGTGCTCCTGCCCATCCTGGCCCCTTCCCCTGAAGCGCGCTGACGTTGGCCACCGGCTCCCCGCAGGAACACTGGATCTCCCCGCAGAACGCAACGCACATCAAGCCTATGCACCCCACGTCGGTCCACGGCGTGGAGGATATGATCCGCCTAGGGGACCTCAACGAGGCGGGCATCTTGCGCAACCTGCTTATCCGCTACCGGGACCACCTCATCTACGTGAGTGCCGCCCCGCCGGCGTGCCAGTCCAGGCCCCTCCACGCCCCGTCCCACCCCACCCACCTCGCCCTGCCCCGCCCTGCCCCGCCTGCCCCACCTCCAGCACGCCCGCCCTGCCGGGGGCCCGCCTCCTGAGACTTTGTCGGCTGTACAGCTGGACCCCGGGGCCCCTGTTGGGGCCCATCTGCCAGCAGCCGCTCGCTCGGCGGGGGCTCATCCTCGTGGGCCGTGGCTTTTGTGGTGTGGTTGGGGTGGGGAGCGGTTTGTACTACACAGTTTTCATGTGCCTCTCTAGGCCTTGAAACCAATGGAAGGCCAGAGCGGAGTCAGTGAGCCGCTTGGTGCTTTGCCCAGGCAGAGAAGGGCTGCTCTGCTGTGTGTTTGCTAAGGGGCTAGGACCTGCCATCAGGCCTCAGGGGCAAGAGAGGATGGATGGATGTCCTCAGGAGGGTGCTAAAGGAGGGAACATGCTCTGCTCCTCCTCCCCTCAAACCTTGATATTAGAAACACACACACACACACCACTCTCCACCTTCAAACTCAAGACGACAAATAAAGATGTCTTCCCTAGCCAGGACACAGCAGATTCCAAGAGGCTGAGCTCAGAGAAGAGCAGAACAATAAGGGTCCGTGCAGATCATTTACTCTAGAGTTTCTCACACTTTTTGGTCACAGGAACCCTTTATGTTCTTAAAGATTATTGAGGATTATTGAGGATCCCAAAGGACTTTTGTATACTGAGTTATATCTGTAGATATTTGCCATATTAGAAGTTAAAACTGAGACATTTAGAAACATTAATTTTTGAAAAAGTAACCATGATAAATCTATTATAAGATAACATAAATAACATTTTTACTAAAAATGACATTTCCCAAAATAAAATAATGGCGAGAAGAGTAGCATTGTTTTACAGGTTTTTTCAAATCTCTTTAATGTCTGGCTTAATAAAGCCAACTGGATTCTCATCTCTGCTTAATGTCCAGTCTGATGGGATATTTTGGCTGAAGTGTATGAAGAAAATTTGGCCTCACAGATGTGTAGTTGGAAAAGAGAAGGCTTTGCAGACTTCCTGCAAGGGTCTTGGACCCCCAGGGGTCTTTGGTCTACACTCTGAGAACTGCTGCTCTACCCCATAGCCCAGTTGCAGACAGGGAAACTGAGACGCCGCAGGTTTAATCAGGCCCAGAGAGGTGCCGTGCCCGGGTCACTGCCTGCTTCTGACCCAGCCCCATCCTCCAGCAGTGCAAGGGCAAAGGAAACCAAGGAGGTGCAACCCCCAGCAGGGAGCAGGAAGGATCCCCCTCCCCCCACACACAGTGCCGGCCTGATTATCTCGAGACCTAGGCCCAGGGAAGGCTGGTACTAGGGGCATTACTGGGGGAGGTGTCAGGTCTGCAGGAGTGATTTGGCTCCCAGCTCAGAGGAGCGGTATTTGGGCTTCTGGAGGTGGGTGAGGTTGGCTGGTAGAGATGGCATTCAGGAGGGGCATGGCCTGAATAAATGCTGGAGGCAGGGCCATGCTCGTGAGTGATCGGCAGGCACAGCATCCCTCAGGTTGTCAGGACCATGAAGGGGTGCCAGGGCCCAGGGCTGGAAAAGTCTCAGAGAGCCCCAGGTGTTGTCACTGAAGAATCACGACAAGGAGCTCTCAGGGCCAGGGGTTCAGTCCCTCTCAGAAGCCCTGAATTATGGCCCCTCAGCTGCCAGAGAGGTCCTCAGTCCTCAGCCACTCTCTGACTCTAGGACCCTCTGCAGTTTTAGGCTCCAGAGGAGAGGCTGCATGTGGCTCCTTGCCGTCCATTGTTTGGGCACAGGAAGTGACTTTGGCAGAGAGCCCTCTAGCCCTGACGAAGCCCCTCTCACTGTGTTCCTCAGTCAGGCCTCACCTGCACTTAGAGGGGCAGGACATGGAGGGTACCTCCAGATGTCATCAGCATCACCCAGGCAGCGGGGAGGAGCTAGAACTTAAGCCCAGGGCAGGGACACCCACCCGCTGTATCTCACAAGGACCTGCTGGTGTCTACACCCCACTTCTTGGCAGCCCCCTCTTTGTTCCTTTCCCTGGAGGGCAAGTGGTCACTGGTGGGTGCTGGGGTCCTCTGTGGCCACTCACCCAGGCCTGGGCAGTCTTAGGTGAGCAGGGAGCCTGTCTGCCTGCCTGCAGGGCACTTCCAGGGCCAATGCTTTGTCTTAGTCCTATGCCAAGGCTGGAACCCAAGGCCCACTCTCCTGTCAGGAGACGCAGAGGGCCCCGTCTCAAGGGAGGAGCTGGGTAAGATGGAAGTTGTCCCACCAGGCCTCCTGCAGACCAGTGTCTCAGCATAGCTCAGGGGCTTGAAGCCTGTGGGTCAGCCACAGTGCAGGCAAGCCGGTCCTCATGCAAGGGAGTCGGTAGGTCAGCTGCATCTAGGAACAAAGGCAAAAACAGGATTCATAAGGGAGAGGGAGGAAAAAACTTCAGACCCTGTGGGCTCAGTGAATCTTGTCTGTAAAGTTAGGAGGGTGGTGAGCTGATGCCCGGGCGGCCAGCAGAGGATTGCTTGGACATTACATCCTCCAGGAGAGTTTCAAGGAAAATAACTTCAGGGATTTATGGGTTCTCCAGAAAGGCCCCAAATCTGAACCATTTGCCTCATTTGAAGTTCTCACATAACCTTTCTGACTTATTTTCTGGGTGAGAGGGAGGAGGCGGGGCCATCCCCTGTGGAGGGATGGGGTAGGGGTCCAGGTAGGTGTCTAAGCTGCCTTCTTGTCCAGGATGCCTGGCCAGGAAACCATGCTGTGGCACCTGGAAGGGCTTCAGCTCCAATAGTCCGCCAACCTTAGATTCTCAGTGTCTCTTGGACATGCTCAAGAACTGCAGGATTCAAAGAGGTTTCCTTGACTCACTGAGTTCATGATTCTGTGACTTGGTGGATGAGGTGGGATTAGAGCAGGGCTTTGAAGAAGCAACCGGGCCATTGTTCCACCCGGAAACTGTACCTGTCCCTAACCATGGCAACCCCCTGCCCCTTCATGGATTGGATTACCCTGGGCACAACACATACACTCAGAATTTCCTCCGATTACCATGGCCAGCTCACAGCCTTGGGCCGGTGGATGCTCTGTTCTCGACTACCTGTCCTGGGCTCTCCTGCCTCCAGCTTCCCTGTCCCCAGGAGCCCAAGAGAGCATCCCAGGGCCACACATCAGCCCTAGCCACTCCAGGATGAGGAAAGGCACTTAGAGAACATTTAGCAACCCCTCACTGCATGCCCAGAGAGCAAGGACTGTCCCCGCATTGGGTGGAAGGGCTGGTGGGGACCCAGGGCTCTCTAACGCTGAGCAGAGGCTGGAGCCCTGATCTGGGAGGCAGGAGGCTGGTGTCCAATCTTGGTGTGTGCCCTTGGGGACGTCCCTATCCCTGTCTGGTCTCAGCCTTTCCTAGGCACAACAGGGAGACTGCATGGGGTGGGCACCTCTGTGGCTCTGGGAAGACTTGTGAGTCCCAGGATGTGTTCTTGGTCTCCATGGCCTGCTAAATACTAGTGAAGTCCCCAGAGCCGACAGGCCTGGGTGCTTCCTGGAGGCGGTGAAATTGATTCCTGCTACAGCTCTGTGGCCTCAGAGAGGCCCCCTGAGCTCTGTCTGGGGACCCCTAGGGGCCACATGTGCTGTATCCCTGGTTTGGGAACAGTCTTTCTCTCTCCCCACCCAACCTGTGGCTCTGCAGGGCAGATTTTACTACTAGAGATTTGAGCAAGAGGTCTGTGCTGGGCGTTCATTCTCTGCCAGTCTGAATCCTTAGAGTCAGAGAGACAGGCCAGAGTGCTCAGGGAGCAGTGCTAAGACCCTGGAGGACCAATGGGCACAGAAGCCCGGATAGGGCCAGGGTCTTATTGCCAGTGGTGGCCAGCCTCCTCTTCAGGAGACCCCAGCTGCTGGCTCTGCAGGTCCTGTGGGTGTGTTTCTGGGATCTGGGGAAGCCCAGGTGGAGAGGCCAGAGCTGGGACTCTGGTGCCAGGGTTTCTCATTCACCCCACCCCACACACATCTGCTGTGTGACTTTGGCAAGTCTCCCCACTTCCTGGAGGCTCGCTTCTCTCATCTGCGAAAGGGGAATATGACCACACCTCCCGAGGCCTTCTGAGGAGTAAAAGGGGTGATGGAGCAGGAGCTGCAAAGTCCTGAGCCCAAGAGGGCTTGCTCTTGCCCTGTTGCTGGAAAGAATTCTCCTCACCGAGGAAAGAGGACTCGTTTCTTTTATTTGTTTTGTAGTAGTTAGGTAGATACATACATGCATACATACATATACAAAAAATTATTCATTTTTTCTGCACAGATGGTAGCATCCCTTCCACGCTATTCTGTGGTTTTCAACTGGCCACATCCCGACCGCCCTTCCCGTCAACATGGCTGGGGCTGCCTCAGTGCTGCTGACAGGCCTGTCCCCTCGCTACCTTCCCTGCAGGTTGCTGTGGCTGGCGGTGGACGCTGTTCACCCAGTACTTCCCCGCCCATTGATCTAGTTGCTCTTTCAGCCACTCAGCAAATGTTGCTGAGCATCTCCTATGTGCCATGCATGGTGACAGGCCCTGAGGGATGGAGGCCTTGAATGGGGACTGTAGAGGAATCAGCTGGGCATGCTGAAGGAGACCTGTGGCTATGATGATTGTACAGGAAGGTGCCTGGCTTCCTGGAGGAGGCGTCATCTCAGCTTGGAACTGAAGGATGAGAAGGAATTATCCGGGTGAAGGGGTAGGGGAAGTGTGTCCCTGGTCTGAGATGGCAGGGGTTGGAGTGTGGTGCTTTTAACTGAAAGTTTCATATGAATGGAGCCTCTTGGTTGTGGGTTGAGGTTAACGAGGGTGGCAGGGGCCAGGGCTTGGGGCTTTGTGGGCAGGAAGAGCATTTGGACTTTGTCCGGAGGCTGTGGGAAACCGCTGGAGGGTTTTCAGCAGGGATGATGTGGTTAGATGTTTTAAAAGCCGGCACAGCTCTGAGTGGAGGATAGATTGTTGTGGGGGCGAGTGTGGAAGCCGGGAGCCCAGTGGGGAGGCACCTGCAGTGGGCTGCTGAGAAATGAGCGTGGCCTGGCCAGGGAGGCATGCAGATGGAGAGTGGGAGTGGTGTGAGGGAGGGGTGTCCAGGGGCTCCCCAGGTTCCTGCCCTGGGCGAGGGATGTGGTGACGTTGTTGGTCAAGTTGGGAAGGCTGGAGAGAGCAGGGTTGGAGGGAAGGGGGAGCTCTGGTCTGGACGTGCCAGTGGCATCAAGTAGGGATGTCAGGAGGCTCAGGGCTGAAGGGTTCATGCGCAGGAGGACCCTCTGGGCTGTGGGCAGAGTGGAGAAGGCCGTGGGTGCCATGGGTGGGAGAAGGCTAGCCCCAGCCCTAGGCCAGCTACTCAGAGCATCTCAGCATCCCCTATTTCCCTCTCTGGACTGCCCGTGCCCTGCACGTGGCCACGGAGCCTGCTCCCAGGGCCTCCCTCCACTGAGCTCTGACCACTTCCCGGAGGCTGGTCCATTAGGTCTGAAACGGCCTCTGCCTCCAGCCTGGGTGACTACCATTCATCCCCACAACTGCCGGGGTGACCTTTCAGCAGCAGACCTCCCAAATGTCACGCCCTTTCACGCCTCTGTGCTTGCAACCCGCGGGCGGGCCCCCTGGCTCTCCCTCCCCTACAGCCCTACCTCATGAGATCTAGGTGCCTCCATCAGGGCCCTCACACCCCAGCCTCCCTGTGTGTCTCAGCAGAGGGTTGTTGAATGGCTGCATGGCATCAGCCTGTGCTGTGTGGGGATCATGGGCCAGATGGCTGAGCATCACATTATTAAGAAGAAATCAGGAAGAAAGTTTTGTTGGGCATTGTGACACATGCCTGGAATCCCAGCTACTCGAGAGGCTGAGGCAGAAGAATCTCTTGAACCCAGAAGATGGAGGTTGCAGTGAGCTGAGATTGAGCCACTGCACCCAGCTTGGGCGACAGAGCGAGACTCTGCCTCAAAAGAGAGAAAGGAAGGTGGCGTTTATGTACCAGGCACCTGGCAAAATTATGTCTTTTCCCTTTAGTCTTTACAACAGCCAAGGGAAGTGGGTGTTAACCTCCCCTTTTACAAATGAGCAAACTGAGGTTTGCCAAAGGGACGTTTTTTGGGGCTGGTTCCTAGTCTGATGCAAGTTTCCACCGGAATCTAGCCAGCTCCCACGGCTGGGCAGGGCCGAGCTGTAGGGGACCGTGCCTGAGGGGTCCAAGGGCAGGGCCTGATCTGAGAATTCAGCAGCCCTGGGCCATGTGGGTGCCATTCGTGGAAAATGCTCTTATAGCCCCTGTTCCCCACTGACCAGCTTCCTTTTCTTCTGCTCTGCTCTTTGCAACCTCAGACCAACTGCGGAGGGCGGGTGAGTGTGGCACAGAAAGCCAACTCCAGCTGGTGTCTTATTTGGTTGCCTGCTTGGCCTGGCTGCTCCCCTCCAGCCTCCCACCCCCACCCCACCCTAGCTCTTCCTGCTTGGCTCTCATGGCATGGTTAGTAGGTCAGCACAGTGAGGCTCAAGTGCTTCCCTCCATGGGCTGATTGGAGGAAGAGGCTTAGGTGGGAAAGGAAGGTCTTCCTGGGCCCAGAGAAGGGCAGTTTCTGGCCAGCTGTCCTGGTCCAGGACAGCCAAGGCAGGACTGGAGGCTGGGTCTTGGCCCCACCTGGCCCCAGGGTGGGCGTTTCCCCCAGCATGCAGTGCCTGCAGCCAGGGAAGTCAGCTCCCTGCATGGCCACGGTAGGCTGAGGCTGCTGAGGCATAGCTGCGGCTCTGCTGTGATGCACTGAGCCCTGAATGGGAGGGGGAGGGTGGACTGTCACCTCCCCTGGACATCTTTCTTCAGCCTCTCCAGGCCCCAGATATCAATACATCCACTGCCAATTATGGTCTAGGCCTGCCTGACCTTTTCAAGTTTGAGACATGGGGTGGGAGGAGGGAGAAGTAACCCTGAGTGCCTCAACCTGCTCTGGTGGCAGGAGGGCCAGGCTGTTGTCCCCTGTGGCAGGACCCCAAGCCCACAATAGGAAGCCTTGCCTACAGACAGCTGATCTTTGCACTAACAGAGGAGCCCAAGTAGAGAACCCCCTTAAGGCTATCTGAGGTGCACCTGGCCCCTGTGCCTATGCTGTGCAGGATGACTGGAGGTGCTCTCTCCCCCAGAGCACAGCATCTCCCTTTGTCCTGGGGCAGTGCTACAGAGAGTGGGGCCCACCCAGCCCCCAAGCCACTTACCCCAGCTCCTTCAGCTCTTTATAGCTCATTTCTCACACCCCTCTCCCTCACCAACCTGGCCTCCCCACGGACATGGTCCCGTTGATTAATTTCACTCCAAAAGCTTGGGATACAGGGCCTGAAGGCCATGGTGGGAGTCAGCATTTGCAGAGTACCTACTGTGTGCCATGAATTTTAAAAGATACCACCTCCTCTAATCTTCACAAGCAGTTATACTCATTTTTACAGATAAAGAGAAGGAAATCTAGGCGTAGAGACACCACCTACCTCTTCATCAAATGTCACTGAGCACTAACTCCGAGCCAGACCCAGTGCTGGATGGATGGCTCTGCCCCAGCTCCTAAGGAGGCCCGATTCTGGCTCCAGGTCCACCCACACGACTCCAAAGCCAGGACTCTTCCCTCCAGAGCAGAGCCCAAGAGCTTTCTAGAGTCAGAGTCTCCCACACAGAGTCAGTGAGCTCCCCATCTCTTGCTGCCCACAGACGTATACGGGCTCCATCCTGGTGGCCGTGAACCCCTACCAGCTGCTCTCCATCTACTCACCAGAGCACATCCGCCAGTATACCAACAAGAAGATTGGGGAGATGCCCCCCCACATCTTTGCCATTGCTGACAACTGCTACTTCAACATGAAACGCAATAGCCGTGACCAGTGCTGCATCATCAGGTGGGCGGCCCAGCACCTGTGTGGAGCTCCAGGCTTAGGACCTAGAGCTCCAGCTGTGGGTTCCTGCTGATACCTCTAGGGATTGCCCGTGCTATCGGAAATGCCATCAAGCTCCTCAGGAACCAGACCTATGTACTCTGTGCTGTGTAACAATGTAGAAAATCACCTCCCCTTTCTCAGGTATTACATCTCTACGCTACCAAAGCTCACGTTAGCTTTTGAGGCCAGCCTTGTTTACTGCTGGCTCCTGTTAAGTTGTGGTCAGTTGACATCTCAGGCTCCTATTTTCTTTTGGACAGAGGGTAAAAGACAGAGCATTGACTGCACATCTAATATGCGTTGTTCTCTATGGCAAGTACAGATGCAGGGGTGTTTGTGTCTGAATGAAGGTGAAGGAGAATGCGGTAGAGCACTGGGCCCTTGAGCCCTGCCCCAGCCCTGGAGGGTCCATATTGTCAGCCGGTATTACAGATGGGGGAGCTGGTGGATGGTGCAGCCTGGGCTGAGTTCCAGTTGGGTGGGGAGTCCCTGTAGGTTGTGACAGGTCCTGCCACTCCCTTCCTCTGCAGTGGGGAATCTGGGGCTGGGAAGACGGAGAGCACAAAGCTGATCCTGCAGTTCCTGGCAGCCATCAGTGGGCAACACTCATGGATTGAGCAGCAGGTCTTGGAGGCCACCCCCATTCTGGAAGGTAGGGCCAGGGTTCCGAGGGTGGGACCAGGCAGTGGAGCGGGAGAGGGCTTTGCCAGTGACACCCTACTCACTCCACAGCATTCGGGAATGCCAAGACCATCCGCAACGATAACTCAAGCCGTTTCGGAAAGTACATCGACATCCACTTCAACAAGCGGGGCGCCATCGAGGGCGCCAAGATTGAGCAGTACCTGCTGGAGAAGTCGCGCGTCTGTCGCCAGGTGGGCCTGAGCCCCAGGGATGCAGGAATAGACCCAGGTCCCTGGCCTCAGGGGTCTGTGTGGCCCTGATGCTCCCCTACCTGCCCGTATTGCTGCCTGCTTGCCTCTGTGCTGGAAACCCCACCATGAAACCCACCGATGGGCTTCTCCACAAGCCGTTTGTTAAAATAGTAGACCATCATCCCAGGCTAGATCCTGATGGCCTCCTCCAGCCCTCCTCCCCTGGCCCCCAACACTGTGCCCACATTTTCAGGCCCCAGATGAAAGGAACTACCACGTGTTCTACTGCATGCTGGAGGGCATGAGTGAAGATCAGAAGAAGAAGCTGGGCTTGGGCCAGGCCTCTGACTACAACTACTTGGCCATGGTGAGGCGCAGGCAGGCACCTGGCTAGGGGGGCATCCACCCTAGGATTGCAGGGAGCTGGCTGCTGCAGACTCAGCCTTGAGGTCTCACTGGTCACAGGGCTCAGGTGCCAGCTTCTTGCTGGCTTGTCTGGACACCAAGGAGAAGTGGGCCCCTGGCCATTGCTGCCACCAAGCAAAGGGTGGGGGACCTTGGGGCATGCACATGGCAGGCTGGCTTGGGGAGCACCACTCCTTTAGCCTTGGGGGGAGCCCATGTCTGGTTGCCTGGGCTGGGCTGGGGTGGGCCAGGCCACATGGACGTACATGTGGGCTACGGCACCTGAAGCATATGCGTGTATGTGCATGTGTGTGTTGTAGGTGTGACAGGTGACCCTGGACACTTCCTGTAGCTGGCTGGCGCACACGTGCACGCACACACACACATCTTGTAGACACATAGAAAATGCGGTGTGCCCCCGTCGATGCCCTGCTTGTATGCAGTTACCTCTCCTCTGTCTCCACCAGGCAGTACCTGCCTAGGGGGTCAAGTCCCTGATAGTGGGTATCCCTGGGGGGGCTACAGGAGCCTAGTAGGGCCTAAGTGCTGTGACTGCCAGGTGGGCAACAGGGGCTGGCCTGGCATCAGTGACCTGCCTGCTCTTCTTCATGGGAAGAAGGGGCACAGCACCCCCAGGTGTGGAGAATGAGTTCCTGGGGACCCCGGGCTTTCCAGAGCCTCCAGACTTTCTGGAGGAGTTGTGGTGCTCACCGGGTGAGGTCAGCGCCCAGGGCCCCAGGCTGGCCTGGCCTGTCAGGCAGAAAGGGCCTTTTGGGCAGGCAGCCAGGCACTGCCCCTCTGGGGGTACACTGACATCCTCCTGCACCCCACTCTCCCACCCTGCCCACCAGGGTAACTGCATAACCTGTGAGGGCCGGGTGGACAGCCAGGAGTACGCCAACATCCGTTCCGCCATGAAGGTGCTCATGTTCACTGACACCGAGAACTGGGAGATCTCGAAGCTCCTGGCCGCCATCCTGCACCTGGGCAACCTGCAGTATGAGGGTGAGGCTGCGCTGCCCTTGCCCTGCCCCACCCCTGCGCCAAGGGCAGTGCAGTGCCTTGCTGCCCACACGGTATTGGTGGCTCAGTTTCTGTCCCAACACATGCCCTCTTTGGGATGGAAGCTGGGAAGAATTCGCCTGTGGGTAGATTTGAACAGGTCTGCTAGCTTGAAATCAGCGTTGGGTGTAGTGTCGCTGTGCTGACAGTCCACCATGGAGAGGTACAGTTAAAGTATATTGGGAGTTGTCTATGGACCCTTTAAGACTCACTTCAAAGTTGGTTTCTTCTTTAAAGTCAGATGTCTTAGAGAGAGGGTTTATCTTTGAACTAATCATTGTAAGGTATGAGTGACTGGATAGCCATCTTTGGAAAGGGAGAAGGCTAGGGAAGGGAACATGTTCACTCATCTAACATTCTTGGACACCCACTGTGTGCCAGACTGGGAGGTGGTCCCCTGAGGCAGGTGGCGGGTCCCACTCTGCTCTTGCCTCTGGTTCCCAGCATGGTCCCCAGGCAGAGTAGGAGCCCCAGGAAATGTGTCCAGGGAATGAATAATCCCAGCACTAAGGAGATCACAGTCTAGTCATCTTGAAAGACTAAGAGACACAGGGAAATGTAAGCTGACAGAAGGAAGAGCTTGTGCAAAGGCCCTGAGAACAGAGCACATGTTGGGACGGGCAATCCAAAGTTTGTCTAACAGGAGCCAGGGTTGCTGCCAAGAGCCCTGGGAGTAGGGAGAGAGCTGCAATAACCAGTGTCTGTTCCTTGAATGCCAGGCATGGTGCCATGTGCGGGGCATACATGGTCCCTACCCTCATGGTGCCTGCAGTCTCATGGTGAGAACATTAATCAAATACACCTTGACCCGGGGAAGCATTTAGTCACAGTGCTGATGCCCTCCCTAGACAGGGCAGGACCCCGGCAGCAGGAGTGACAGCCTAGTCCTCTTAGGACAATCCCCTTGCCCCTGTTGCCCACACTCCCTCCCCTGATGCTGTGCCCCTTACTGCCAACAGCCCGCACATTTGAAAATCTGGATGCCTGTGAGGTCCTCTTCTCGCCGTCGCTGGCCACAGCTGCATCCCTGCTTGAGGTCAGTGCCCGGCCTTTCTCCCCTCCACGACTTCTGTCTGTCTGAAGGGTTGAGTTCAAGCTCATTGGGGGCTGGGATGTGGGAACCACATTGCTGGGACCCTCTGGTTTGGAGAGTTCTGTTCAATATGGAGAAGCAACTGTGTGCAGATCCTGTGCTAGGCACAGGTCCTGGAGGAGCTGCCCTGGGGATGACGGGGCAGGTGGGGGCCCTGTGATGCCCTGGGCTATGTGACCCTGGGAGAGTCATCCCTGCCTTCTGGGCCTCAATCTCCACATCTGGGCAAAGGGCACTGGTGTCCATGGGTCAAATGCATTGAGTCTGTCTGTCTTTTAGCAAACACTTACTAGGGCTGGAAAACGGGGATGAATAAAGCCAGAGTTAGGGATGGTCCTAGAAAGGACAGGTGACATGCTGGAGGGAGTTAAGCGGGGCTGTCAAGGAGACAGAAGTTCCTTCCAGGCAGCACCAGGGCAGGTTTCCATGGCTGGGGAGAATTTGGCCGTGGGCCCTGGGACTGGCGTGCTTAGTGGAGGCAGTGGTTTGGGCCAGGCCAGTGCTGGAAAGTGGAGGGGTCTGGTTGTGGGTGGAGGGAAGGGGCAGGCTGGATGGTGAGCACCAGGGGTGTTGCCTGCACCAGGTGAATCCCCCAGACCTGATGAGCTGCCTGACCAGCCGCACCCTCATCACCCGTGGGGAGACGGTGTCCACCCCACTGAGCAGGGAGCAGGCACTGGACGTACGCGACGCCTTCGTCAAGGTGGGCTGGAAGAAAGGGGCCGCTTGCTCACCCTAACTCTCGGGAAGTTGGGCTGTTGATGGGCAGGTGCCAAGGAGTCCTGGGAGGCGGGTAGACGTCTGGGTCGCCACCCCTGCCTGCCCCGGGGCCACAGTCGACCTTCCTCGAGTCCCAGGTGCCTGTGCTCCTCTGGGACCTTCCTAGCTCTGGCCACCCCAGGCCCTTGGCTTTTGGCCTGCTTTGATCAGCCATGCTGTTCCCAGCCCCGGGTTACTCTCTTTGGTCTTTCTGTAGAAGACACAGAAGAGCGGGGCTGGATCGGGTCCTGTTTCTACAGCCACATGTTTGCCATTCATGGAGCCTTCACCCACCACACCAGGCCCTGGGCTGTGTTCGGGGACCTCAGAGATAAACAGGGTTGGATAGAGAGATGAGAGCCCCAAGGAGGGCTCCTTCCCCAGCTGCAGGGTCAGGGAAGGCTTCTCAGAGAGGAGCTGTTATCTCAACAGAGCCTTGAAGAATGTGTGGGAACTGTTCAAGCAGGAGAAGGGGGCTCCAGGCAGAGGGAACAGCTTAAGTAAAGGGTTGGGGGTTCCACATATCACTTTGTTCCACACAAGGGCTGGAGCGAGGCCACGAAGGGTCCACGAGCCTGGCCTGTCCCCCAGGGAAGGGTGTGGCTGGTGCCAGTGGCTGATCGCTGCCTTTCAGGGAATCTACGGGCGGCTGTTCGTGTGGATTGTGGACAAGATCAATGCTGCAATTTACAAGCCTCCCTCCCAGGATGTGAAGAACTCTCGCAGGTCCATCGGCCTCCTGGACATCTTTGGGTTTGAGAACTTTGCTGTGAACAGGTACCACATGGGGCTCTGCTCATGGGAATTTCCTTCCCCAACATGGACATAAGAAATAATCATGTGTCTCTCTTGTGAAGCACATTTAGTTGCCTCCTGATACACTCTGCCAGGCTGTTCCACCATCACGGCGGACCCTCTCCCCTTCTTTCTCATCCCCTTGTGTCCCTCACCTCCCCAAGGTCAGCTGAGCCTGGCTGGGGTTGCGAGGAGGCTGTACACATCCTGAACACTTGGGGAGGCAACCTCTGGTCTCCAGGCCCCGCTGGCCACTGCTGATCTGCCCAGATCCATACTGCAAGGTGTCTCAAAGCAGGGAGGCCAGGCCTGAGCCACACTTGTGTTGGGGTCTCAGCCACCCTTGGGATTCTCTGCCTTTTAGGGGCTATGTGAGGGGCTGATGGGTGTGTCATGTACAGGTGGGTCCTGGAGCCCCACTTCCTGCTGGGAAGTCAGGACCTAGCAAGTCATGTCAGTTCCTGTGCTGTTTGGATGTCTCAAAGCCCTCCTCCAGCACCAAAACACCACACTCAACACACAGGGCTGTGTCCGTGGCTCGGCCTTGTCTGCAGCCGGGGCTGTTTCCCAAGCCTTGTCAGCCCCCTTCCCACCTCCCAAGGCCACTTTCAATATCCCTGTACGGCCCACCAGCCAGCGTCTGGGCTTTTTCTCTCCCAGGCAATCTGCCTGGGGTTTGGGTGCCCACGTGCCAATCCCCAGCCCTCCCCAGGGCTTGATCATGCAAGAGAAAGGGTCCTGAAAAGCCTTAACTCTCCTTCTGGCTCACGGAGTGACCCTGGACAAGTCCTTTGCCCTTGCTGGGCCTCCATGTCCTCCTCTGCACCTGGAGGGAGGTGGACTTGATAAACCCCCTTGCCTCAGAGTTTGGAGTCCACAATGGGAGCAGCTTGTTAAAGGGCACGCTGCAGGTGGAGGCAGAGCCAGGCCCTGAACTGCAGGGTGGGGCCTGAACAACACCCTTACCCCATCCCTGTGCCCCTGTAGCTTCGAGCAGCTCTGCATCAACTTTGCCAATGAGCACCTGCAGCAGTTCTTTGTGAGACACGTGTTCAAGCTGGAGCAGGAGGAGTATGACCTGGAGAGCATCGACTGGCTGCACATCGAGTTCACCGACAACCAGGACGCCCTGGACATGATCGCCAACAAGCCCATGAATATCATCTCCCTCATCGATGAGGAGAGCAAGTTCCCCAAGGTGGGCCGGTCCTGCCGCCACCTCCCGGGGTCTTGGGCGTGCACAGCTTCCTTCCCTGCTCTGAGCCACAGCTTTCCTCATCTGCAAAATAGGACTAATGATACCCACCCCTCAAGGTGGCTCTGGGGCCAATTCAAGTACAGTCATCTGCCATTTGGGAATCACCTACAGTCCACGGGGTCCTGGGCCAGGCCATGGAGATCCAAGCATGCAGTTGGCACAGAATGGGTGCTCAGGACACAGTGTATATCTCAGAGCTGGGGAGGGGGAGACGGGATTGCACCCATGATTTTAGTCTTGGGAAATCGATTGTCTAAACTGGAATGCACTTTCAGAGTTGCGTAGTTCCAATTCATCCACTTAAGAGTTGGGGAAATGGGGGCCCAGAGAGCTCCTATGTGAGGTAGAAATAAAGGGAGGGGAAGCTCCTGAAGAAGAGACAGGGTGCAAAGACATGGGCAGGGAGGGGAGTGGGGCCCATGGAGGAGAGGGTAGACTCACAGTTGCCCCTCCACTCCCCAGGGCACGGACACCACTATGTTACACAAGCTGAACTCCCAGCACAAGCTCAACGCGAACTACATTCCCCCCAAGAACAACCACGAGACCCAGTTTGGCATCAACCATTTTGCAGGTGTCGTCTACTATGAGACCCAAGGTACAGAGGGCTGCCAGCTGTCTGTCACTCCCTGCCTGTAGCCCTGCCTTCCCCTTCTCCAGCCCAGGAATAAGATATCCGGAATTTTAAAGATTTTTAAAATTTGTGATTTTATATATATATACACACACACACTTGACTAAAATGGCCAAGTGTTGGATTCAGTGGCATTAAGTACTTCACAGTGCTGCACATCCAGTACTGCTTATTCCAGGGCTTTCTCGCTGCCCCAAACAGAGCCTCTGCATGCATGGAGCGATACCTCCTTTCCCAACCTCTAGTCCCCTGTGACCTGTGTTCTACTTCTGTCTGTGAGTTTGACTATTCTAGGTACCTCATATAAGTGGAATCATATGATATGGCTCTACATCATTTAATGTCATTTATGAGAATGTGTCGTTAGGCAATTTGGTCATTGTCAATCATTGTAGAGTGTAGTTACACACCTAGATGGTCCAGCCTACTACACAGCCAGACTATCTGGTATGGCCTATTGCCCTCAGGCTACAGACCTGTACAGCATGTTCTTGTACTAAATACTGTAGGCAGTTTTGACAGAATGGTAAGTATTTGTGCATTTAAACATAGAAAAGGTACAGTAAAAATACATCATTACCATCTTAGGCACCACTATTGTATCCCTAGTTGGCTGAAATGTCATTATGCGGTGAAGGCATGACTGTCCTTTTGTGTCTGGCTTGTTTCATTTAGCATAATGTCGTTAATTTTCAACCATGTTGTAGCATGTATCAATTGCCCTCATTTTCATGGCTGAATAGTATTTCATTGTGTGGATAAACATTTTGCTTATCCATTTATCTGCAAATGGACATTTGGGGTTGTTTCTACCTTTTGACTTTTGTGAACAGTGCTGCTCTGAACACTAGTGTGCAAATACGTATTCAAGTCCCTGCTTTCAATTCTTTTGAATGGGCTCAATGCTTGTTTGTACATTTAGGGAAACTGAGGCTCAGAACAAGGTGGGGGCTTGACTGTCCTTACCTGATACAACATAGCCCATTAGGCTCAAAGTCAGGCCTAGAACCGGCCCAGTTACCCGCTAAGACTCTCGGCAACGAGACCAAGCATGAGCTTTGAAGACCATGCATCTTCTTTTCCCCTGAGGACATGCAACTGGGTTCATGTTAAAGCTGGAAGTTAAGAAGAGTGGTCAGAACATGGGCTTATCTCACTTGGAATTCTTACAGGGTTTGTCAAAAGACTGCAGACTTCCCTTGCCAATCCCTTCCCACCCACCCTGGTATAAAGGGTCAACCTCAAATTGGCATCAGTTATGGGCTGTGTCTACCCTGAGCCCTGCCAATACAGCCTCAAGGGATCTTACCCATAGTCAAAGGCCAATTAACCCATAAATATCTATACCTACTATGTACCACAAAAAATTAAAAATTAATTTTTTTTTAAAAAAGGCCAAAGACATTCAAACATGCTGTAACCCATCCGTTTCTTACTCCCTTGCTGAACTGGTCCAGAAGTCAGCAGTGTATCAGTGAGCCAGGGTGCAGTGGTAGAATCTGATGGCGGCTCAGGCTCCCTTAAAATACTGGACTGTGAGATTCAATCTTATTGTTGGAAGAAGGAAGCAGACATTAAGTTTGAAGGACTGTCGTGCAAACAAATTGGTCTTTCATTTGGAGTAATAGAGGATTGTATTTTTCCGTTCAGTTCAACCAGTATGCTCTTAGCATCTATTATGTACCAGGCTTCATGATGTTGCTGAGGATACAGAAGTGATAATTGAGTAATCTCTATGCTGAGTTATAAAACCATAGAATGCTATGTCTGGAGGGAACATAAGGGTCATCTACCTTAATAGAATTGGAAACTGAAGCCCAGAAAGGGAAATGGCTTGCCTAAGGTTGTTAAACGAGACTAAATGACTGGAAAGAATTCTACCAGCATTTTCTAGTTCGCAAAGAACCTATTCAATACAGCATCTTATTTATGATGTGAATTTATGAAGTGGGCGGTATTAGGTGTTCTGAAGAGAAGCAAGCTTGTGGGCAGTATCCTTCCCACCTAACAGTTAAGGAACCTGGAGTCCCAGAATGGGGGTCTTTCTAGGATCACATAGTGAGTCTGTCAGAGCTTTAATGAGAACCCGATTACATCCCACTGCAAGGCCCACCCTCCATTCCTGTGTGCACCCTGCAACTCCCCCCTCCCCAGGTGCCAGGCGGGCAGCCTAGCACTGGTTCTCTGTGCAGTCTGCCATTCATGGGCAGCCTTTGTCCTACTCTGTGCAGTGGCACTTCCCCTCAGTCATCTGCAGTCCCTGGACACCCTGTCTCTTGCCCCACTGTACCAACCCCCTCCCCATTAACCAGTTGCCGACTCCTTGGTCCCTGTGAGTGGCAGCCTTCTCTGGGGTCTGTGTGGTGTGGGAGAATCTCCCTAGGCTCCTGGGGGTCCTGGGGGTCCTGGGGGTCCTGGGTCCTGGGTCCTGGGTGCAGAGAATCTCCTTTGCACTGGCATCCTGGGTTCAAGTCTTAACTCTGCCCATGGCTTACTGGGTGATGTTAGACAACTCACTTAGCTTCTCTGAACATTGGTTTTCTCCCTTTGGGGGCAGAGGACGTAATCCCTACCTGTCCCACATAGAAGGATCTGTGAGGGGTCCTCGTAAAACATAACACACTGTCCAATCACAAAGTGGTTTTAATGAATTTCTTTAATATTAGCTTGTACCAGATCAACACACATTCTCTCCCAGGTCACACACTTACTTAACAAGGCCTTTTGATGTCTTAGTTCAAAAGACTCATGGTGGCTTTGGGGTGATTGGTCAGGAAGGAGGCCTGCTTTCTCCTGGAGACTGAGACCCCCTGCCCTTCTTGAACAGGTCTGGAAGAGGGGAGCTGTGTTGTTGGGGAGATGGCCCCTCACTTTCTCTGTGATCTTGGGCAAGTCTCTGTCCCCTCCAGGCCTCAGGGTCCCCCACCATGAAACAGATATGGTGGAACTAGTGGATTTTGAGGTTCCTTCTGGCTCAGATGTTGTGGGTTTGGGGAGGGCCTCCCAGAGCTGGTGAGATGTGACTGTTGTTTGCTGCTTGCAGGCTTCCTGGAGAAGAACCGAGACACCCTGCATGGGGACATTATCCAACTGGTCCACTCCTCCAGGAACAAGTTCATCAAGCAGATATTCCAGGCCGACGTCGCCATGGTAAGCTGGGCGTGGTTTCCGTTGTTCGGGAAGGGCCCCCACAGGCCAGGCCTGGGTCTGAGGCCTGCCCTTGTCCAATAGCTTCATCTGAGCCCCCCTGGCCACATAATGGGTATGGAGCTTTGCTGTGGCTCCAGGAGGGGCCTGGAGGAGCCTCAAAGCTGTTCCCATCTGGTCCTCTTATTGTACTAATTGGGAGATGTGGCTGGGGTGCAAGGCCCAGAGAAGAGTCACCTGAGAGGTCACAGAGCAGAACTGGTCAGGGCTCGGTTTACTGTGGGGGTCCACCCCCTGGAACCCAGCTGCTAAAGGGAGCACAGGCAGAAAGAGCACGTCCAGCCTGAAGGATGTGGGGTGGGTGTGGATACTCAGAGAAGCTGGCAAAGAAGGCATGTCTGCAGATCCCATCAGACAGTGGGAGAACTGCCCCCTCCGCCTTTCCTTAGGCCCTAGGGTGAGGGTCTAATAGATTTTCTCCTGCAGGGTTGCATGCGTTTTTATTTCATGTTTTCCTCCTGTCCCATGGTTCCCTGGAGGGTGCATGGAAGGCCTCACGGGGAAGACAGCCCCCGCCCCCTCCATGCCTGTCCAGGTGCCTGGTGGTCCCCTGCCCTCAGGACCATCAAGACATCACAGAGCTTCCAGGACCCCAGCCCTCTCCCTGAGGGTCCCCCTCTCTCCGTGGTGGATTTTGAGTGGTTTTGTGACCCACCACGTTCTCCTTGCCCCTCCTCTCCCCATCTCACTCTGCACCGTGGTTCCTGTTGTAGTTTCTCTGTGGTTATTCATCGGGCACTCTGCGCCACTCAGCAGCTGCTGCGAAGGTAAAAGACCCCAGCGGCCTGGTGGGGCTTGGTCCCGAGCCCCCACGGTGCTGAGGCTCGGGGAAAGGGTTGGGCTTTTTCTCCTTTTTTTGGAGTGTGTTTTTGTGTGGAGTGGTTTGTGGAGTGATTTTTGTGTTTGGTTTTTGAGTTGTGTGTGCTGTAGGCATTTCTTTCTTCAAGGAGGAAACTGAGTCCTAGAAAAGGGGCAAGTCTTGCCGAGGGTCCTCTGGGAACCAGGGACAGAGCAGGGACTCGAACACAGGTCTCCTAAGGCCGCTTGGAGGCATCAATCCCTGGTCCTTCCACCAGGCCCTAGTGGGCGCCTACAGCCATGCCTTGGTCGGATGCTCAGATAACCTTGCAAGGCAGGAGGGACAGGTGGCATTTTCTGCATTTTGCAGATGAGAGACTGAGGCTGAGAGAGGGGATATGACTCATTCCAGGTCACAGCATTCTGACGGGGAGCTGGGACTAGGAGACACCATTCCCCGGACCTCCTTAGGCCTGAAACAGCAGCCCTGCTGTGTCCTGAGCTCTGGTTCAGGCTGTGGCTCCCATGGTGCTCTAGATCCCAAAGGTGCTGGGTACCCCTTAGCAACAGCATAGTGCTGTCAACCCCTTTGCCTCTTTTTCTCTCCTCAGACCTTCATTTCCTCTCTGCCAAATACTGACATCCTTCCACTTTGGCCTGGTGCTGAGTCCCTCTTCCTTCCTGCCTGCCTGGCAGAGTTCTGAAACAATCCACACACCCCCGGCAGTAGACAGGGCATGTCAGGAGCAAGGAGCTTGTCTGGATGGTGGCCTCTCCCCTCTGCCCATGGATCAGCCCTGGAACAACCTCCCACCCCCACTCACCCCGACAGACCAACACTGTAGGCTGGCCGACTGCTGGGGTGCATGCAGGGCCGACCTGAGAGAGGGGAGTCCCAGGCACTGGAAGCTCTAGCACCCAGGAGAGTCCCCACCCGAAGGCCCTGTGCTGTAAGGTGGCCGCACTGCTGAGACAGGTGTGGCTCTGGCCTCTCCCACTCTTTCATCTTCTCCTATAGCCCTGCTGGCCCCACTCAGTGGCCCATCCCTTCCTCCTGGTCTTGGTCATACTCTGGTTAAACCCCATCTTCCCCTCCTACCTGTTCTCTCTCCTCTCTCTTTTCAAAGCTCCTGGAGGCATCTGGGAATGTTCCATGATATTTCCTGCTCTGAGTTTCCTACTTCTGGGACTAGAACCCATTTACTGAGAAATCCTGGAGAGGTCAAAGTGCAGGATCCCAGAGTCTCCGGAAATGGCCCACCCCGGAGGAAGTTTTAGGAGCAGAGAATTAGGATACAACAGTGACCAATCTGATACCAGTTACATCTACTGGGCACCTCTTCTGAGCCAGGCTACGAGCTCAGCACTTATATTTATCAGCTCATTCACTCCCCACTGCAACCTGGCGAGTAATTACTATTACTCCCACTTTACAGGTGAAGAAACCGGGGCCCAGGCTGGGTGTCGTGGCTCGCACCTATGATCCCAGCACTTTGGGAGGCGAAGGCAGGAGGATTGCTTAAGGCCAGGAGTTCAAGACCAGCCTGGGCAACATAGTGAGACCCTGTGTCTACAAAATGATTTTAAATTAGCTGAACACGGTGGTGAGCGCTTGTAGTTGCAGCTGCTTGGGTGGGGGCGCTGAGAAAAGACGATTCCTTGAGCCCAGGAGTTGGAGGCTGCAGTGAGTTGTGATTTGCCACTGCACTCCAACCTGAGTGACAGAGGGCAACCCTGTCTCTAACATTTAAAGAAAGAAACTGGGGCCCAGAGAGACCAAGGTGCTCGCTGAGGTCACACACCTTGCGACACACCAGGGATTCGAGCGCAGGCCTGCCTCAGGGACTTGTCTAAGGCCATATACAAGAGTGGGCTAAAGTGAGGTTTTCCAAGTTCCTGCCTTTTTAAATATAATTTTAATTTTTAAAAATTTACCTTGCTGGTTCCATAAACGTCGCCTCTTAGGAAAGAAAACATACTTCGTAACTCCTAGAAACACAATGGCTTTTTTAAAGGAAGATGAAAATCAGCTTGGTTAATTGTTTATTCAGCGGCAGTGTACTAGTGGCAATGCTCCTATCAGGATGGAAGCCCACGCCACTTCTTGCAGTGATCTGAACTCCCATCATGGGCAGGTCCCCGAGCCCTGAGTTTTTAGCCTTTGACTCCTACATCTGCCTCGCCAGGCAGCCCTGGGCAGCCCCACCGCAGCACTTGCTGGTCAAGGGCCAAGTCCAGCTGTGATGAAGGCAGCTCTTCCAGGACATTGATTACCCCCTGATTAATGCCAAAGCCCAGTCATATGTCCTGGGGCCCCAAGCCCAAGAGACGCCTGTTCACTCTATGCAGGTGGCCTCCTGCCTGAGAATTCCCAGCCCCTTTCACATCACGCTCTGGGGTCTTCCTCTCAGGTCCTTTCTGGGGAGGCTTTGGACTTTTCACTTCCACCTTTACCCCATCCCTATCTGCAGATTGTCACAGAAAACAGCGAATACCAGGAAGGACAGCCTTTCCCCTCAATGAAATAAAACCAAATCAGAAACCCAGTTGACTACCTACAAACCTTTATTGAGTGCCTACTATATGCCAGGCATTGTCATGGGTCTTGGGGACGTAGCAGTGAACAAAACAGAAAAGGTCTCTGTCCTTATGGAACTTAAGTTCCAGCAGAAGAGGTGATAGTTGGAAAGCCAAGGCCAGGTGCAGTGGCTCACAGCTGTAATTCCAGCACTTTGGTAGCCGAGGTGGGCAGATTGCTTGAGCTCAGGAGTTCGAGACCAGCCTCGGCGAAATGGCAAAATCCTGTCTCTACAAAAAACATAAAATTAGCTAGGCACAGCGGCACACACTTGTAGTCCCAGCTACTCAGGAAGCTGAGGCAGGAGGCTTGAGCCTGGGAGGTCGAGGCTGCAGTGAGCCAAGATCGTGCCACTGTACTCCAGCCTGGGTGTCAGAGTGAGACCTTGTCTCAAAAATAATAGTAAATAGAAAGCCAATAAATAAGTAAAAGCTACAGTGTATCAGATGGTGAGATGCGGCATAGGGAAACATTAAGAAGGGAGGAATGAGGCGGTGGGGCTCTGTGATTTTCAATGGGGAGTTAGGAAAGGCCTGCCTGAGAAGCTGAGCAGGAGGTGAGGAAGAATGTGCCCAGCCACATTCCGGAGGAAGAGCTTTGCAGGGAGAGGGGACAGCAGGCACAGATGCCCTGAGGTGCTTTGCAAGCCTATGCCTGCATCCCAGGTGCATCCCAGGCAGGACGAGGAGGCTGGAGGGGTAGGAACAGGTGTTGTAAAGACCAGAGGCCCCTGGAACTAGCTCCTTTGGGGGCACTGTGGGTCCCTACAAGGACCTGTGCCTTCATGCGAGTGAATCAAGTTGCCAGTGGAGGGTTCTGGGTGGGGAAAGGACATGGTTTTGTTTTAGCAGCCTCACTTGGGCTGCTGTGTTGAGAGTGGAAGAGTCCCAGGCACTCGAAGCTCCAGCACCCAAAAGAGTTTCTGTCTGAAGGGCCTGTGCTGTAGGGTGGCCGTGCTGGTGAGACACGTGTGGCTCTTGGCTCTGCCACTCTTTCCTCTTCTCTAACTCCCCAGTTCCAGGGGAGGGTGGCCTGGAGTGTGGGGGATGGAAGCAAAGAGACTAGTTGGGGGGTTACTGCAGGAATTTGAGAGCGACGCTGGTGGCTGGGACCAGGCTGACGGTGAAGGAAGTGGTAAGGGGTCAGGTTCTGGAGATATTTTGAAAGTAGAGCCTGTAAGATTTGCGAATATATTGAATGTGACAGAAGAGGCACTGTGGACAGTTGTTAGATGTGTGGCTGGAGCAACGGGAAGGTGGACAGTTTCTGTGAACCCATGGATGTCACTAGGAACCAGTTCAACAGCACTTCAGTAGATCAAAGTGTTGACTGTTACTTGTGTCAGGTAGGTCCTGGCCACGCAGCAATATAGAGGCAGACCTGTCCTGTCCTCATGGGGCTCCGAGCCCAGCTGGGAGGATGAGCAGAAAGCAGTAGTTTTACTGTGATGACCAAGACCAAAGAAGGGCGTGCGTGTGCGTGTGTGTGCACGTGGTGGTATGCGTGAGCTCCTTGTGTGTGTGTGTGTGTGTGCATGCTGAGGGGTGTGTGTGTTGTGTGTGTGCATGCATATGTGTGTACTCATGTCAGGGGCCCTAACGCAGGCTGGGTACAGCCCAACTTGAATAGCTCCCCTCCAGTGACTGGGGTCACCCAGTGCTGCTGCTGGATCAAGTTGAGGACAATCCTGGGAGCCACAGATCTGACCACTACCCTACCACATTGCAAATACTCCGCAGCTTCTCTGGGCAAAATCCTAGAATATATTCCAAATACAACGCAATTGGAAAGCATTGCAGATTTCAGAATTGCAGGCACTGGCTCTTTCTCAGAAGGCCTCATCACAGTCTGGTGGCATATTACCTAAATTGAGGATGAGCATAACACCTTTGTTCCCCCAAATACCTTACATATCTACATCTGCACCCCTGGGTTTTGATGATACAGGATATTAGATGAAATAGTGACTCTAAAGATATTAAATCTTACAATATTAACCAAATGACGTTAAATAAAATAAAATAAGAAATTCTCAACCAAATGAAAATTGCCAGGAAGACACTCATCAAGATGCTTTGGAAGAGAACCTGAGCTCTGTGTCCAGTTCCCATCAGTCCTGCCGTTTGGCTTCCTGTTTGTTTGTGGCTCAGGGCTTTACCTCATTCCACAGTATTCTCAGAGGGGACCCCAGTAGGGCAGGGAGGTGCATGGGGCTCGCTGGCTGCCAGGATCACCCAGGTAGTAGCTGGTGGAGCACAGAACCCCTGGCCGCGTCGGTGCCACAGTGCGGGGATGAGGGGGAAGTTGCTTGTGTGCCTTCTTAGGAGGATTAGCCAGGCCTGCCCCGCCCCTAGCCTGCTGCTGCCAGCTAAGCCTGGGAGGGGAGAGGTCACCAGCAGCTCCCGCCCCTCCTCCTCGCACTTGCCCACAGGTTCCCAGAAGGCGGCACCACCTTTCCAGGTTGCTGTTTACTGAAATGTGCCCTGACCTCTGACCCTCATCACAGCCTGGTCAGATGGATAGATGGCATCACCTCCACTAAGGAGACTGAGGTTCTGCAACATTTAGTGACCTGCCTAAGGCCACACAGCTAGGAAGTGGTGGGCCAGGGCTTGAGTCTAGGTTTGTCTAACCCCTGTCTCTAGAGACGACCTCAGGGTCCTGAGGTGACCAAGTCCGATTACTCCTTTATTCAGGGAAGGGGGGATGAGACTCAGAGAGGATGACCCTTGCTCAGAGTCATCCAGCGCACCAGGGGCAGGGGCAGGGGCAGGGGCAGGGGCAGGCTCAGGCTCCCGACTCCCAGTGCGGAGATCTTCCTGTAGGGTTCACTTCCCCCTGGCCCAGAGCTGGTACCTTTGGAAGTCCTGGGAGGCTTCCTGGAGGGGTATCTGGGGTCCAGGCTCCAGCTCAGACGGTGGGGAGAGGCAGTTTGCAGGAAAACTTCGAATACTGCCCTGTCCCTCAAACCCTGACCCACTGACCTCCCCTCACGCTTCCTACTGGGCGGCTCCTGGGACACTGGATAGGGGCAGGCACAGCCCCTCCCATCTCTGCCGTCCGTCCCCCCAGGGCGCCGAGACCAGGAAGCGCTCGCCCACACTCAGCAGCCAGTTCAAGCGGTCGCTGGAGCTGCTGATGCGCACGCTGGGTGCCTGCCAGCCCTTCTTTGTGCGATGCATCAAGCCCAATGAGTTCAAGAAGCCCATGGTGAGCAGCCCTGGCCTGGGGTTGGCGGGTGGCAGCTAGGGTGATGTGGAGGAGCTCTGTCAAGAATAAGGTAGGGTGGGAGTGAAGGATGTGAGACTTTGTCCCTTTAGGGAATTGGGGGCACCCTGTGAGCTTACAAAACAAGGCCCCCTATTTACTGGAGGCAGCAGGTGCCTTGGAAAGAGCCTAGACTCTGCAGGGGGCTTGCGGCAGGTTCAGATCCTGCTTCTACCACTTACAAGTGGGCGACTGCAGACAAGGCAGTTTCTTCTCTTACGCCTCAGTTTCCTCATACATGGAAATGGGACTGACCATCCCTACCTCCTGAGACTATTCCATGCAATAATGCTTGCAGATGCCCGGCCCCAGCAAGTGCCCAGTGATTGGCAGCTGTGGTTCTTGCTAGGGATGCTTCTTTGAAAGTCCCCTTCTCCTTTGGCCCAGCTCAACCACCACCTTCTCCTGGAAGCCTCCCCCATCCCTCCATCTGGTTGGGATATTCTTATTCTTGACTTTTCTGAATAACATTTGTTGGGCCCTTTCTGTGTGCCCAGCATAGGCTGGATGGACAGGCCACAGCTTCCTTCAGCCTTCTCAAACAGCCTGTGAGAAAGAGACTGTGGCAGTCCCAGGTTAGAGATGTGGGACTAGGGGCTCAGGGAGGTTAAGGCGCTCAGGCTGGGGCCGCCTCGCTGCGAGCCCTCTCCTTCCCCAGCACAGGCTCTGGGAGGGTTGTTTACCCAGAGGCCTGCAGGGAGGCGCAGGGGAAGCTGGGGCCTCGGGATCTGCGCAGGGAAGGAAGGCCGGGGAAAGTGGCCCGGAGAGAGAGGAAACAGGCTCCGGAAGCTGACAGGCTGCAAGACTGTCCCCTCCCGCTGCCTCCTGCCTGGAAAACATTCGCCGAAGTGGATGAGGCCTGACCCCTTTAGGACTCAGGTCTGCAGGGGCCTGAGGTTCGCAGAGGGCTCCAGTGAGCTCTCCCTGTAATGCAGGGGGTGTAGGGGACTGAGACCGGGGCAGTCAGGCACAGTCTCCCTGGCTCTGAAGTGGGACCCTTCCCTCAGGCCAGTCCTTAGCATTTGTGTACTGGGCCTTGGCAACGGCCTCCTCAAGGGTCTCCTGCCTCCCTCGCCTCCTGTCCTGCCTCCCCTGGACCCCAGTGACATTGTTCTCAAATGCAGACCTGGCCCAGTCTCTCCCTGCTCTAAACCTTCCCTGGCTTCCAGCATCCATAGATGAGGCCCTCACAGAGCCCCACAGCCTCACAGCCCAGCACCTGCCTTGCACTCTTTCTCCCCAGCCCCTCCACCAACCAAACCCCAGGGCCCTTTGAAAAATGTGCTGCTTCCTTAAGGCAGCTAGAACGTTGTCTGAATAACCACAGATGTACGATAGCTGCAGTGTGAAAGGTCCTCCCTGGGGCTGTGCAGAGCACCCCTCACCTGCACAGCCATAACTTGGCCTGGACCAGCCTCTCTAGCTCCCCCAAGATTCCCAACAAAGTCCTGCGCTTTCAGGCTTCCACACCTTTGCACAGGCTTACCCCCTCCAGCCTTGGAATACTCTCCCTCCTGTCAGCGTTAGGGGGATAAAGACGCCTTCTCCATGAAGCTCGCCTGTTGGGTGTCCCAAGAGGAATTAATCTATGTCTTCTGTGTGCTTCCAAAGCACACAACTCCGCGACGACAGGCCTCACTTTATGCTATTTTGTGGATTTGAGCTGCAGCTCCAGGTGCCTGTCCCAGCTTTGCTCCTCCCGTGCCATGTGGACTTGGCCTTTCTGAGCCTTTGTCTGGGTTGATCAAGTGCATAGCAGGGCTGTCTCCCAGCAGGAGCCTTGGCCCTGATGCCCTTGTCTGTCTGCCCGGCAGCTGTTTGACCGGCACCTGTGTGTGCGCCAGCTGCGGTACTCAGGGATGATGGAGACCATCCGAATCCGCCGAGCTGGCTACCCCATCCGCTACAGCTTCGTGGAGTTCGTGGAGCGGTACCGCGTGCTGCTGCCGGGTGTGAAGCCAGCCTACAAGCAGGTACAGGGCTGAGTGCACAGAGGGCAGGAGAGGAGGGTCCCAGCTTTGGCTGGGCAAGGATCCCAATTTTCTTATCAGGACTGTGAGCGGGGCTTGACATCTGCTCGACCTCTCAGGTACAGCATGGAAAATTGGGGGTCAGGTCTTGGAATGTATCAGTGGGCTTCAGTTGCCATGTTCACCTAATGAGGACTTCACACATGGTGGTGTAAGGAACAAGACCAGGGCTGCCACGCGGGCCCTGGATGTCAGTTGTGAGAAAGGGTTTTGCAATCATACCATCCAGCTGAGCTAAGGAGAAAACTGGGGCTCAGAGAAGGCAGGACCCAGCTGAGGTCACACTTTGAGTCAGGGGCAGAGCTGGAGAAGAGCCCTGCCTCCCAGCCTCAGGGACACTCCGGGGGCCTTCCCACTGGAGACACTGCCCATTCCCTTGTGTCCCCCATCCCCACCCCAGGGTGACCTTCGCGGGACGTGCCAGCGCATGGCTGAGACTGTGCTGGGCACCCACGATGACTGGCAGATAGGCAAAACCAAGATCTTTCTGAAGGTGAGCACAGCTTCCCTGGGCTGCCCTGGGGCACTGTGAATTCCCATCATGTGGGCTGGGGTGCTCGGGAGAGGGAGGCAGTGCTGGGGCTTTGAGATCCTTCCTGCCGGGCTGTGGTGTGGCTGGAGGAGCAGGTGGGATCTGGTCTCTCCGGTGGGGAAGGGTAAGTTGGTGTTTGAGATCATCTACCACCTGGGAGCAGGGTCAGCGCACTGACCACAGGTTACAAAGCACATGCCAGGGGCGGGCTGGCTGTCAGGCCCACAGCAGGGAGGCGGGGGTGCTGCTTGCCTTGGGGCCTTTTCTGAGCCTCATTTTCCCATCTGTAAATTGGGGTGTGCCTGTGTGGGGTCTCTTGAGTGTATCTTTAGGTTCCTTCCTGTGGTTTCCTGCCTGGCAGGGTCCATCCCATGCTGGGGTCCGCAGCATTCCACCTGTCCGTCACTCTGTAGGGAGCTCAGCTCCCATTGCTGCCTGGGCAGCTGGGGAGGGAAGCAGGAAGCAGGGCCTGTGGGAGTCACGGAGTCACAGCCTTGGAGAAATGGCTGGGAGCTGGCAGTGGCAGGGCAGCCACAGCAGGGACAGTGCGAGCTCCCAGCGCTGGGCTTCCCCATTTGCATTTCCGCTGTGCTAGATTTCTGGCTGTCCCGGATGACAGGGCTCCTTCCTCTGGTGTGGGGGGTGGGGCCTGCACACTCCAGGACAGCTGCAGGAGGGACAGGAACCAGCTCTGAACTGGAGGGAGCCTGTGGCCTCTTAAATCCTCTCCAGCCAAGGGGCTTCAGGCTAGGCCCTTTCTCTCCTTGCACCTGCATTTCCTCATTAGCAAGATGTGATGAATGTTCCCTGCCTGTGCCTCCCACAGTGGTCAGCCAGAAAGCATATTCCATGTGCCAGGCCCTGGGTGGGGGCTTTTCATCCATGAGCTAATTTAATCCTTGAAACAGTCCTGTGGAGAAGAAAATATTATACCCGTTTCACAGGCTCAGAGAGAAGTCAGTTGCCCGAAGCCAGGCAGCTAGGAAGCAGGCAGCAGGGCTTCCAGTCTGGGGGGGTCTGATGCCAAGCCCCTGTGTGGACAAAGTGGGGAAGGCAGGAATCACGATGGCATCTAATGCCAGGGAACTCGGAGGAGCGCCATCAGCCCCTGACTTACACTGCTAGGTTCTTCCAATATGGCCATGGTTTTGAGAGGCCAGACATGCTCATTCATCCATCCTTTCATTCATTCATTCATTCATTCAGAATGCCTTAGCTGAGCATCTCCTCTGTCAGGGCCCTGTGTGTCTGTGATTATCTGATGGACGTGGCTCCCTCATGAAACTCTACCCTCCCCAAGGGCAGGGGCCATGTCTCCCTGGTTCATTGTGGCAGCCCCTCCCCTCCCCAGCACCTAGCACAGTGCCGGCACATGGAGGCGTTCAATTCTTATGTATTAAGTGAACCAATGAAGTTTTGTCCAACTAGAGTGAGGGTTGGGGTCTTGGGTGAGGAGGAGAGAGGGCTGGAAAAGTTGGCAGACATCCTGGATCATGGGTGGCCTTGAGTGCCAGGGTGAGGAACCCAGGCTCGACCTGGGGAACCATGAGGTGTCACTGTAGGGTCACCATCCGGGTTGTGTTTAGGAGGGTCTCTCTGGCTGCTTGTGAAGGAGGGCCGGAGAGGGAGCCAGGGAGGCCGTGAGACCTTTGGTTAGGAGGCTGCTGCCAAGATTCAGGAGAGGAATGGCCACAGCCCAGCCCAGGTGAGGGACTGATGTGACAGGGGCATCTAGAAGCACGGGGCTTGGGCAGATTGATGATAGGGAAGAAGCCGGTGTGTGTGCGTACTGGGCCTTCCGACCCCATCCAGAGAGATTAGGCACCTTCTGCTCCATTTGTCCTGCCTGGGCCTCTGGGAAACAACCACAACCCCTGTCTGTCCTGGTGGCTGTGGGAGGCTGCCCCAGGAGCCAGAGCCAGCTGGGAGCTCATGGGACCCAACTGAGTTCTAGACCTGGGCTCCCAGTGAAGGAAGAGAGGCCCCAGCTGGGACTGAGCAGGTGGCTCTAGAGACCTTGTGGGGTGCTGCTCAGGAGCTCTGCCTCCTAGGACCACCATGACATGCTGCTGGAAGTGGAGCGGGACAAAGCCATCACTGACAGAGTCATCCTCCTCCAGAAGGTCATCCGGGGGTTCAAAGACAGGTGCGTGTTCCCAACAGCTCCTCCCCTCCTCAGCCCACATACAGGTGTACGTGTGGTGTTTGGCTCTCCTCTGCTCTGCCCGCATGAACACTAGGAAAAAAACATGTTCACCTATGAAACAAGTGCACACATGCACAGCATGCACACATGATCATGTAAACACAGAGGAATATAGATACATGATTTACATGGACCCATTGTGCTATGTAAGCCAAATAATCCAATACATTCACCTACGTATGCACATTCACATGTAGATACATGAGACTCACATGTGGACCCACTGTTCATTTCAGATGCTGATGAAATTTTGCACAGAGGAAATATGAGATTTTATAAATTATGAATACAAAATGTGTCTCATATTCTATGTAAAGGATATCTGTACACCTGTGACAATTCACAAATGTGCAGGACTGACTCCAAAATGTGATTAAAGCTCTGCGAAAATCCTGCAACACACCCCTTTGCAGTTCATATGGTCACTCTCTCCCTTCACCTACCCATCCATCCATCCATTCACCCACCCACCTACCTACCTATCCATCCATCCATCCGTTCATCCATCCATCCGCCCACCTATTCATCCATCCATCCGTCCACCCACCTACCTACCTATCCATCCATCCATCCGTTCATCCATCCATCCGCCCACCTATTCATCCATCCATCCGTCCATCCATCTGCCTGCCTATTCACCCATCTATCCATCCATCTATCCATCCATCTGCCCACCTATTCACCCATCCATCCATCCATCTGCCCACCTATTCATCCATCCATCCGCCCACCTATTCATCCATCCATCCATCCATCCATCCGCCCGCCTATTCCCCCATCCATCCATCCATCCCCCCACCCACCCACCCATTCACTCATCCATTCATCCATCCACCCACCCACCCATTCCCACAGTTGCTCATTTGCTTATGTGTGTCTCCAAGCATTGACTTTTTGGCCCACATGCACACTGACATACCCATCCTTCACTCTTCCTTTATTTATTTCTACATTCAGCAGACCCCTGCTGTCTGTGCGTGGTCTCTGTCCTCTATCAGGCCAAAGATGACTGTTTTCCTGCAGGAGCAGCCTGCTGTGTGCAGGGGGAACAGCAATGGGCTCACTTAGGGTCAGTCAGAAGACACAGGCTCTAGTCCCAACCTATCAAGTTTCAGTTGCCTCATGTATAAAATGAGGAAGTTAGACTGTTCAAAGCTTTTAATCTTTGTATTATTTTAGTTACTTATTTTTTCATACATTTATTCATTCAACAAATACCTTTTGAATGTCTACCTTCATAGGCTTATGTGACAGGCCTGTGGGGCAGGCAGGGCAAGCATTATTCTACGCATTGTACAGATGAGGAAGCTGAGGCACAGAGGTTATGTGCCTTGCCCAAGGTCACATAGCTAGGAAGTCGCAGAGCCAGGACTCAGCATGCCCTCGTGATCCCAAACCCACCTGTGCCCTGGCTGCCTCTGGACACTGCTTACCCGCGCCACTCCCGCTGTTTCAGGTCTAACTTCCTGAAGCTGAAGAACGCTGCCACGCTGATCCAGAGGCACTGGCGGGGTCACAACTGCAGGAAGAACTACGGGCTGGTGAGCCTCCCCATGGGCTTCTCTTGCCCCAACAGGCCTTTGAACCCAGCCTTGCTGCCATGGCAGCGGGACTGGCCTGCACCCAGGCAGCACAGCCTGACCTCGTTGGCCTCCTGCCACTGCCCCGGCCAGCCACTACCATTCCTCCAGCCCGAAGTCTGGATCTGGCTCTTGTGGCTTCTTCCAACTGGCCAGCAATGTGTATTGTTCTCCTTCTGGAGTGTTTTTGGCTGTTGGGAGCACTCTGGGATTATGAGAGATCTCAGATGGGGCTGGGAGTGGCGGGGTCACATGGACCTCTGTGCAGCAGCTGGGCTTAGGGCTTGTCGGGGCTGGATGGGAAGCAGACTGGTTGGTTGCAGCTCCTGATCTAGGATTCTCTCAGGGGGGCCCAACTCAGGGAGAGTCAAGGTCACCTAAAAATATGTTGTCTGAGAGGAAACAGAACTTTCTAATGATGGGGGGCGCCCTAATCTGAGAGGAGACGGGGCCATGCCTTCTGGGGGTGCCTGTCTGAGAGTGGAGGCCGGTGCCGTGGAAGCTTCTGCAGGCAGGGTCAGTCTAGAATGGGACAGCAGGCTCTGAGCACGGGGTGGCTGTCCTTGCAGATGCGTCTGGGCTTCCTGCGGCTGCAGGCTCTACACCGCTCCCGGAAGCTGCACCAGCAGTACCGCCTGGCCCGCCAGCGCATCATCCAGTTCCAGGCCCGCTGCCGCGCTTATCTGGTGCGCAAGGCCTTCCGCCACCGCCTCTGGGCTGTGCTTACCGTGCAGGCCTATGCCCGGGGCATGATCGCCCGCAGGCTGCACCAACGCCTCAGGGCTGAGGTGAGGGAGCAAGTCCGTAGCAGCCAATCAGCAGACCTCTGACCCCTGGGTGGGGAGTGTCCACGCATCACCCTCAGGTGTGGGCCAGGAAGCGGGACCTATGGGGTGGACCTGTGGTTATGCCTGCTCTGAGGAGTGCACAAACCTGGGACCATACCCTCATTTCCATCCTCCTGGCCAAGGGCAGGGCTGGGACCTCAGTCACTCTTGGGAATCTCTGAGTGACCGAGGCAGATCTGGCCGGGCTTTAGGATCAGTGGTGCCTCCAACCCGCTGGGTAACCTAGAGAATTTCTTGGTTACCTCACTTGTCCTATCTGCCAAATTATTTGGCAAAGTCATGCCCAGTTCTAGAACTCAGAGTCGGGTGGGTGGAGCTGGCAGGAATCCCTGCAATAACAGCTACACACATTTCCATGCCCCCTGGATGCCCCCTTCCCTCAGTACCTGTGGCGCCTCGAGGCTGAGAAAATGCGGCTGGCAGAGGAAGAGAAGCTCCGGAAGGAGATGAGTGCCAAGAAGGCCAAGGAGGAGGCGGAGCGCAAGCATCAGGTGAGCCGAGAGCCTCCAGGCGCCTCGTCTGGCTGCTCATGTCACCCGAGGCTGGCTGCTCATGTCACCGGGCACCGCAGCCTTCCTTCCACCCTTCAGAGTGGCTGCACTAGACCCACTTGGCCAGCGTTGCCTGAGCTCTCACTGGGCACCTGGTCCTGTGCCATGCAAAAGGACCGAGGGCTATGGTGGCTCCAGAGGAAGAGACCCAGGCCCTCAGCAGCCCCTTTCTAGCTGGGAGAGAACACCCTGATAAAAGCCCAAGCCAGCTGACGGCACGAGGGTGCCCTGCTGCCCGGTAGAGAGCCACCAGCCACAGTGGCAACCGAACACTTGCAGTGTGGTCCATCCGAATGACACAGTGCTGTAATTGTGAAGTACACACTAGATTTTGAAGACTTGGTGGGGAAAAAATGAATATAAAATATCTCAGTATTATTTTTGTAATATGGATTATATGCTAAGATAATATTTGGGAAATATTGAGTTAAATAAAATATATTACTACGACCAATCCCACCTATTCCTTTTTGCTTTTTAAAACATGGCTACCGCATGGGTGGCTCACATTGTATTTCTATTGGGCGGCACTGGTCTAGAGCCTCAAGCCAATGGCCGTGGGGTGTCTGGGTTGGTGTGGTCCCCATGGAGCAGGCTGCTGGAGGAGGTGGCTCCCTGAGAGCCCTGAAGGATGGGCAGATTGCTGTTTGGCCTGTTGAGAGGCCTCTGAGTGGCCCAGAGGTGGGGAAGTCGGAGGCTCCATTCTCCCCGGCGGTCAGGAGGTGGGGACCGAGGCCCTGGCTGCTGCAGGGACTTCCCAGGGAGAGCTTGTTCCCTGAGGCTGTGGCACCGGGGCTGACCCTGTGTCTTCTGTGTCACCCCAATTGCCCAGGAACGCCTGGCCCAGCTGGCTCGTGAGGACGCCGAGCGGGAACTGAAGGAGAAGGAGGCTGCTCGGCGGAAGAAGGAGCTCCTAGAGCAGATGGAAAGGGCCCGCCACGAGCCCGTCAATCACTCAGACATGGTGGACAAGATGTTTGGCTTCCTGGGGACTTCAGGTGGCCTGCCAGGCCAGGAGGGCCAGGCACCTAGTGGCTTTGAGGTACCAGGCTGGGGACAGGGGCTCCAGAGGCCCCCACACCACTTGGGCTGATCCTCCCTCCTCCTGTGCCCTCGGCCTTAAAGCCCGCCCAGCCCCTCTGAGCAGTGGGTAGCCGGGATGAACTGGGTCCTGTCCCTCTCCAAGGCCGTTCTCAGTTTTTTTTTTCTTTTTTTTTGAGATGGGGTCTCACCCTGTTGCTCAGGCTGGAGTGCAGTGGTGTGATCATAGCTCACTGCAGACTTGAACTTCTGGGCTCAGGTGATCCTCCTGCCTGAGCTTCCCGAGTAGCTGGGACTCCAGGACATACCTCTTGTCTCCTTCAGGACCTGGAGCGAGGGCGGAGGGAGATGGTGGAGGAGGACCTGGATGCAGCCCTGCCCCTGCCTGATGAGGATGAGGAGGACCTCTCTGAGTATAAATTTGCCAAGTTTGCTGCCACCTACTTCCAGGGGACAACCACGCACTCCTACACCCGGCGGCCACTCAAACAGCCACTGCTCTACCATGATGACGAGGGTGACCAGCTGGTGAGGCCTGCCTGCCACTAGGTCACTGCTGGGTGGGGCCAGGGCTGGTGCTGTGGACTCTGCTGCTTCTGGTGGCCATAGGTGATGAGGGTGGTGGGTTCCTGGGGGCCAGGGACCAGGTCTGACTATAGTCTTCACTGTGGCACCCAGCCTAAGGGTTCACCATGCAGGAGGGGGTGTCTCCAGCCCTCTCCCCAAACCACCAGGTCATTCTGACAGCTTTAGCAATGTCCTCTGCTCTGGCCTCTGACATTCATGCTCTGCCCCAGGCAGCCCTGGCGGTCTGGATCACCATCCTCCGCTTCATGGGGGACCTCCCGGAGCCCAAGTACCACACAGCCATGAGTGACGGCAGCGAGAAGATCCCTGTGATGACCAAGATTTACGAGACCCTGGGCAAGAAGACGTACAAGAGGGAGCTGCAGGCCCTGCAGGGCGAGGGTGAGGTGAGGCCAAGGTGCCCTCTGGCTGATGTCCCTCCCAGGCCTACAGGGAGGGTTGCTGGCATCGCCAGCCTTGGGCTCCTCCACAGAAAAAGGATCCTATAATTCATCTCTGCCTCACCAACCCCTGCCTGCCACCCTCCTTTGTCTACTTGTGGGAAGAAATATGTGAAACTTTTATAAACTGTGAAGTGCTGACCGTAACTGAGGGGCCTCACAGCAGAGCAGACGGGGGCTTTGCAGTTGGAGCCAACTCCCATACTGTGTTTTTCTGAGTCTGTTTTCCTGACTGCCAGTTGGCTGGTGGGGGTGCAAGGGTAGGGTGAGCAGGTAGAGGGTGCCAGTGTGGGGGGCACCCTGTAAGCCTCACGTGGAAGCGAGATGGTTCCCCACAAAGTCTTGCTGTTGGGGGTCTCATCATTGCTTTCTGCTCAGCCACTTGACCCTGATCCCTGCTGGTCCTGCAGGCCCAGCTCCCTGAGGGCCAGAAGAGGAGCAGTGTGAGACACAAGCTGGTGCATTTGACTCTGAAAAAGAAGTCCAAGCTCACAGAGGAGGTGAGGGCAGACACTGGGGGTCTGGCAGCCCACAGATGGCTGCCTTAGGTGGGGTAGGCTGGAGCACAGCTAAGCTGGGGGCCCATGGGAGCAGGAGCAGGAGTGGACACTGTCTGTCCTCAGGGGTCTTGGCTGGCCAGGGACAGGACAGCATGGGTGGGTTGGTGGGCGATCAGGCAGACAGGACTGTCTGAAGAGGGTGGGATCTTAGGCTGGGGTGGGGAAGGGCTTCCTGGCAGAGGGCACTGAGCAGGGGAGGCTGGTAGCAGCACAGGTGAGAGGGAACACACTTCCAGCCAGGGTGCAGACTCGAGGCACTTGGTCCAAGGACCTTTGAGGCGTGGGAGCTTTCTGTGGAACAAGAGTGCTCATGGAGCATGAACGGGATTAATTTATTCGAATTCATTCTTCAGTCACCTTGCCTTTTCTGGGCACTCTCCCAGCCCTTGTGCTCTGGGGTTGTCCAGGCTGGTGTGTGTGTGGCAGGGGAGGATGCATTGGAGAGGCAGACACAAACCAAGGCATTCACAGCCTTGGGGGCCAGGCCCCCATCCCCACATTTGCACATGCCAGTCCCTCTGCCTGAAACTCCTCCTTTCTCTGCCTGGGATCACCTCCTCCAGGAAGCCTCCCCAGCTCCTCCACGGCAGGGTCAGGGGCTCCCACTTTACCTCTGCCCTTGTCCTGTCCCCACCTGAGGCAGAAATCCAACCTTGCAGGTGTGTGGCCTCAGATTTGAATACCTTCTCTGCCGCTTAATATTCAAGGGACCCAAGGAAGGAAACGCCTACTCCGTGGGGTCCTGGGAAGAAGGTGGAAATGGCAGCCGAGGGTGTTCGGTAGACACGAGGGCCTTCCATGGTGCTCCCTGTCTGTACCACCCACTCCTGCCGCTCACCTCTCACTCACCCTACCTCCTCTGGGCAGAGCTCGGGGCTTGTGCTGTGGGCTGTGTAGGATGAGAGAGGAGAAACATCTCATAAGAACCAGTGTGAGCCTGGTCACATCGGGGCTAAGGGTGTTGGTGACAGGGTGATGGTGACTGGTGGTTGGAATCTGGGGTATACTCCAGAACCCACAGTTATGGGGGGGCCACCCCAGAGAGATAGGGGTCCCGCTTGGAGTCAGAAGCAGGTCCCTGTCCTGGCTGAGAGGACCTCCCTGGGGTGGGGGGTGGGGTGCAGGGTATCGAGGAGACGGCAGAGGAGCTCTGTCCCCAGAAGTGGGTGGCACCAGGCCAGTGTGCCGCAGCTGTGTGGGCCAGTTATTGGCCCAGCATCTGCTGTGCACGTGGCAGGGGTAATGACAGTGCTGGGGAGCCCAGTTCTTCTGCTCACTCCTTAGATTCTGCTTTCTGGGGAGCAGGCAGCTTCGGGTGCTGGTGCCCTGGCTGGCAGGGGAATGCCCCTGACTTCACCTTCCCTGCCCTCTCCCACTGGCCCAGGTGACCAAGAGGCTGCATGACGGGGAGTCCACGGTCCAGGGCAACAGCATGCTGGAGGACCGGCCCACCTCCAACCTGGAGAAGCTGCACTTCATCATCGGCAATGGCATCCTGCGGCCAGCTCTCCGGTCAGTGCCGGGAGGCGGGGGCACCGGGGCCTGAAAGTCTTTTGATGGCTGAGTGGTGCCTCTGTCAACTTAGCAAGAGATAAAGCAAGCAGGCCTGGGTTTGGCTTTGCTGGGAGCTAATTGGTGGAGTTAGGACCTTGGTGGAGTTATTTCATCTCTCTAAGCCTCTGATTCCTTGTCTGTAGAGGGGGAATCATAAAACAGGCATCCCTTGGAGATACTGCAGGTTCAGTTGAAGGCCACAGAAATAAATATCACAATAAAGAGAGCAGCACAAATATTTTGGCTTCCCAGTGCATATAAAGGTCATATTTATACTGTACTATAGTCTATGAAGTATGAAATAGCATTATGTCTAAAAAATGTAGACACCTTGATTAGAAAATAATGTTGAAAATGCTAACGGTCATCTGAAAGTTGCATCTATTTGCTGGAGGGTCTTGCCTTGATGTTGATGGCTGCTGACTGATCAGAGTGGTGGTTGCTGAAGGTTAGGGTGGCTGTGGCAATTTATTAAGATAAGACAACAGTGAGATTTGCTGCATGAATGGACTGTTCTTTCTCACAAAATTTCTCTGTAGCATGCAATGTTGTTTGACAGCATTTTACCCACAGTAGAACTTCTTTCAAAATTGGAGTCAGTCCTCTCAAACCCTGTTGCTGCTTTATCAAGTTGATGCAATATTCTAAATCCCTTGTTATCATTTCAACAACGTTCACAGCATCTTCACCAGTAGATTCCATCTCAAGAAACCACTTTCTTTGCTCATCCATAAGAGGCAACTCCTCATCCACTGAAATTTGATCATGACATGGCAGCAACTCAGTCCCATCCTCAGGCCCCACTTCTCATTCTAGTTTTCTTGCTATTTATTTCCACCACATCTGCAGTTACTTCCTCTTGAAGTCTTGAGCCCCTCAGTCATTCATGAAGGTTGGAATCCACTTCTTCTAAACTCCTATTAATGTTAATAATTTGACCTCCTTCCATGCATCATGAATGTTCTGAATGGCATCGAGAATTGTGAATACTTTCCAGAAGCTTTTTCATTGATTTTGCCCAGATCCACCAGAGGAATCACTATCTATGGCAGCAATAGTCTTATCAAATGTATTTCTTAAATAAGACTTGAAAGCCAAAATTACTCCTTGATCCATAGGTTGCAGAATGGATGTTGCATTAGCAGGCATGAAAATAACATTCATCTCCTTGTACGTCATTCTTTTTGTTTGTTTGTTTGTTTGTTTTTGTTTTGTTTTGTTTTGTTTTGAGACAGTCTCACTCTGTTGCCCAGGCTGGAGTGCAGTGGCGTGATCTAGGCTCACTGCAACCTCCACGTCCTGGGTTCAAGCAATTCTCCTGCCTCAGCCTCCCAAGTAGCTGGGACTACAGGCACTTGCCACCACATCTGGCTAATTTTTGTATTTTTAGTAGAGACGAGGTTTCACCGTGTTGGCCAGGCTGGTCTGGAACTCCTGACCCTGTGATCCACCCGCCTCAGCCTCCCAAATTGCTGGGATTTCAGGCATGAGCCCCTGTGCCCAGCCCCTTGTACATAATTTTTAAGGGCCCTAGGATTTTTGGAATGGTCACTGAGCATTGGCTTCAATGGAAAGTCAGCAGTGCATTAGCTCCTGACAGGAGATTCAGCTTGTCTTTTGAAGCCTTGAAGCCAGCCATTGATTTCTCTCTAGCTATGAAAGTCCTAAATGACATCTTTTTCCGATAGAAGGCTGGTTCATCTCCATGGAAGATCTGTTGTTGAGTGTAATCACCTTCATCAGTGATTTTAGCTAGACCTTCTGGAAAACTTGTTGCAGCTTCTCCATCAGCACTTGTTGCTTCACCCTGCACTTCTACATTTTGGAGACAGCTTCTTGCTTTAAACTTCATGAGGCGATCTCTGTGAGCTTCCAACTTAGCTTCTGCAACTTCCTCACCTCTCTCAGCCTTCAGAGAATTGAAGAGAGAGTCTTCCTCTAGATTAGGCTTTGGCTTAAGGGAATGTTGTGGCTGGTTTGATTTATCCAGACCCCTAAAATTTTCTCCATATCAGCAAATAAGGCTGTTTCACTTTCCTATCATTTGTGTATTCACTGGAGTAGCATTTCTGATGTCCTTTAGGAACTATTCCTTTGCATTCACAAGTTGGTTAACTACGTGGCACAAGAGGCCCAGCTTTTGGTCTATCTCGGCTTTCAACATGCTTTACTCTCTAATCATTTCTAGCTTTTGATTAAAAGTGAAAAATGTGTGAGCTTCCTTTCACTTGAACACTTACAGGTCATCGTGGGGTTGTTAATTGGCCTAATTTCAATATGAATGTGTCTCAGGGAATCAGGAGGCCTGAGGAGAGGGAGAGAGATGGGGGAATGGCTGGTGGGTAGAGCAGTCAGAACACATCTAACATTTATCAATTAGGTTTGCCATCTTCTATGGGCATGATTCACGGTGCACAAAACAACCACATTAGTAACATTAAAGATTACTGATCACAGATCACCACAGCAAATATAATAATAAATTTGAGATATTTCTAGAATTGCCAAAATGTGACAGAAACGCGAAGTGAGCACGTGCTGTTGGAGAAATGGTGCTGGTAGACTTGTTCCATGCAGGGTCCTTGTAAACCAATTTGTAAAAAATGCAATGTCTGCAAAGTGTAATAGAGTGAAGTACAGTAAAATGAGGTGTGCCTGCAGCAGCTACCTCATACACAGGCTTGTGGGAAGATAAAGCTATGAAAAGTGTGTAGCACCAGACCTGGAGCATAGTAAGCGCCCTGTAGATGGTAGCTTTGATCATCATCATCCAACATGCATTTCCTGCTTTAACTCCCCTGCCGCCAGCTCACCTCGAGTCACCCACCCCAGGCCCATGGTCAGGGTTACTGTGGGCCACATGCCTGGGCATCCTGCAAGTACCTCCTTCCCCACAGGGCCAGGAGAGGCCTTTACCCAGGTCCCTGGGGTTTTGGGGAGTTGAAAGGAAGACCCAGGAGTTACCAGGAGCCACCAAAAAAATCAAGTCAGCTGATGAGAGGAGGGCTAGGACTTTTCTGAGAACAGTCTCTGCACAGGACAGGTCTGTCGGGAGAGCTGATGCCATGAATGTGTGCGTGCTGGTTGGGAGGACAGCAGGACGAGGCAGGGACCAAGCCCCACTTTCCTGATGGGAAACTGAGGTCCAGAGTAGGGAAGAGACTTGCCCAGGGGTCACTAGGCCTCCTGCCTCCTATCAGGCCCCCGTTTTTATCTCCTCAAGCCTAGTCACTACCTCACCGGGGTGGCCACACTGCCCAGGGCCACCCGCCAACAGGAGGAAAAGCAGCTGCTGCAGGTGTGTCTCAGGGGCAAGAATTTGCCTCCAAATTATCTCACCATCATACCTAAAGCTGACACTTCTAGAAAACAGTGCCAGGAGCTCTGAACCAAGAGTCCAAAGGCTGGGGTGTCAACTCCTTGAGGGGCCTCACACGGTGAATCCCTCCCTATTCTCAGGCTCTGTCTCCCCATCTGTAAAGTGAACGGAGACTCCTAGCTGCAGGTGATAATGTTTCACTAGTCTGTGGCAAGGTGGGAACAGGAGGGATGTTTCTAAAGCAAAACTTGTTTTCTTTAAAGGACTGCTCTGAGACTTTGCCCTTCCTACTATTTGGAAATTTAAAATTACCTTTGTTTTATGAGATAATTGGGATCTAGACAGTGAGCAGGTTGTGTGTGTTATAAATGTTCTCATTTATCATGATAAAAAAATGAGTAACTTCAGAATTTACTTTGAAATTATAAACTCTCAAAACTGTTGAGCCACTGAATTAGGTAATCCCAGCCCTGTCCTTTGGGAGAGAAGAGCAGCAGTGGGTGCCCCCTGGCGGTCACTGCATCGTCAGGGGTTCTGCCCTTGAACAGGCAGGCTGCAGTCTTAGAGCACCCAGGTTGCAGAGGAGAAGAACCATTCCCAAGAACAAGGACAGCAATAATTGCAGCTGGCATTTGTGAGGGGTTCACTGTGTCTGGCACTGTGCTAGGTGCATCATAAGCCTTGGCTCATTTGTCTTCACAGCAATCTTGTAAGGATTCCTTTAAAATGAACACCAAAAAATTACCTTAATTGTTTTCATCCCATTACAAAAGTCATACATGGCCCCTTAAATATTCAAACATTACAGAAACATACCAGAGACAAAGTCCCTACTCATTCCATCCCCCAGTGACACCCCAGGACGCTTTTCCTGTTTCTGCTTTGTCCGTTGCCATGGGTAGAAGTTGCACCTGCTGCCGTGACTATGGGCTGGAATCAGAGAGGTGAACTCACCTGCCTCAGTCACCAGCTGGTTAGGAAGGAGGCAGAGGTGGGGACTGTGCTTCTCATTAGCATGGTCACCTGTGGCTGCTGAGCCCAGAGCAGGATACGCACCACCCTGGAGGGTGGGGCCCTGGCTGTGGGAACTGGATTGGGGTTGGGGAGGTGCTTTATGCCTGATGATTCTGTCTCCAAAGCCAGACCCCAGCCCTTGGCTCAGCCCTGCCACCCAGCCTCACTCTGCCTCCTCCTGGGTGGTCTTGGCAAGTTGGAGAGGACAGCTGTGTCGTGTCCCACCGGCTGCTGGGAGGAGGTGGGGACCGGGGCTGTTCCTCTGGGTGATTCCCCCTCCCTTGCCCTGCTGCCTGCCCAGGGATGAGATCTACTGCCAGATCAGCAAGCAGCTGACCCACAACCCCTCCAAGAGCAGCTATGCCCGGGGCTGGATTCTCGTGTCTCTCTGCGTGGGCTGTTTCGCCCCCTCCGAGAAGTTTGTCAAGGTAGGAAGATGCCTGGCCTCCTGGAGCGGGAAGGGGAGCTGGGCCCTGTCCCAGCACTGCGGGGAGAGCAATAGTCAGGGACTCCGAAGGGCCTGGTCACAAGGCCCACCTGGCCACCCCCCACTGAGCCCCATCTTCCTGGCACCTCCTCCCCTCAGACGGCCACTGCTTTGCCCCACATTCCCCTCAGCCCCATTCTACTTAGGAGGGGCTGAGTCTGACAGGAGCGTGTCCCAGGCCCTCTGCACCCTCGCCTTGGGGCAGGCCCTGGGTGCTGGGGTCAGAGTGGAGCAGGTCACGGCAGGACCAACCCGACTGGCTGGTGCTGTGAAGGGGTGTGGGGAGGAGCCGCTAGGCTGAGCTGGGGGAGGTGGGGGAGGCCACAGAAGTGGCTGGAAATAGGTGGTGGATCTGAGAGAGTAGGGAAGCCACGGAAAGCAGCCTGGCCTGGAGAAGTGGCCTCCAAGTGCTGGGGAGCGCCTGGCGGCTGCCCTCATAACTCACATGGGGAGGCCCAGGGCTGCAGTGGGGCCGCCTCAGCGGGTGCTCTGGCTGCAGTACCTGCGGAACTTCATCCATGGGGGCCCGCCCGGCTACGCCCCGTACTGTGAGGAGCGTCTGAGGAGGACCTTTGTCAATGGGACACGGACACAGCCGCCCAGCTGGCTGGAGCTGCAGGTTCGTGCGTGTGTGTGCACGTGCTTGTGTGCATGTGCACAAGAGTGTGTGAGTGTGTGCATGTGTGTATGTGTGTGCGAGTGCATGTGTGTGTGTCCAGTGCACTCGAGTGCCCCAGAAACATTCCCCACTTTGAGACTCTGTGGTTCCTCAAGCACCTACCCTCAAGTTCTGGAACCCCAGGCCCATCGGAACAGAAAAGCCCCCAAAGGATGAGGGACTCCATTTGCTGGCCTTATGGTCAAGACAACTTGGGCAAAGGAGATTCCCTCTGTGTCTCAATGCCTTTACCTGCCACATGATGAAGGTTATATGAAGTGATAGCAGAGACCCCGGGCCTGTGGCAGCGCCTGAACTCCCAGCCCCAGGCCCTGACTCAGGGGTCCTAAAGGTCCACTGGGGTGGGGTGCACAGCAGGGCTCCCTAGACATCTGTGATGGGGACAAGCAGTGTCCCAGTGAGGTGCTGAGGCCTGGGGCGCCGGGGCAGCTCCAACCCCACAGAAAGCAGAGAGCCAAAGTCCAGAGGGGCGAGCCGGTCTGAAGGGAAGGGACTCCACAAACCCTCCTGGGGCACTTCCAGGCCACCAAGTCCAAGAAGCCAATCATGCTGCCCGTGACATTCATGGACGGGACCACCAAGACCCTGCTGACAGACTCGGCAACCACGGCCAAGGAGCTCTGCAATGCGCTGGCCGACAAGATCTCTCTCAAGGACCGCTTCGGGTTCTCCCTCTACATTGCCCTGTTTGACAAGGTATGGCCGCCCAGAAGCACCTCCTCCCGGCCCCACTCCAGGCTGCCAGTGCTGCCACCTACTGGCTGGGGCTACTCACCCTGGAGCACCTCGGTTTCCCCGAGCCGGCGCTAACAGGCTCTGCCTGACTCGTTAGGACTGCCGAGAACTCGGCCAGGTGCGGTTGTTCATGCCTGTAATCCCAGTACTTTGGGAGGCTGAGGCGGTCGGATCACAAAGTCAGGAGTTCAAGACCAGCCTGGCCAACGTAGTGAAGCCTCGTCTTTACTAAAAAAAACAAAAATTAGCGGGACATGGTGGCACACACCTGTAATCCCAGCTACTCAAGAGGCTGAGGCAGGAGAATCGCTTGAACCCAGGAGGCAGAGGTTGTGGTGAGCTGAGATCACGCCACCGCACTCCAGCCTGGGCGACAGAGTGAGACTCTGTCTCAAAAGAAAAAAAAAAAAAACCAGAGCTCTTCGGCACCCAAGGGAAAACCCAGCAGTAGGATGTCCTCAGTCCTGTGTCCCCAGGCCCAGTGAATCCTCTCCTGGTGCTGAAGGAAGAGCATGGCACAGGCTGAGGGGAGGGCTGCGCAGCCCTTGCGTGCAGATGGGAATGGAATTCCCTCTCAGGTTGCTGTGGCGTCTGATGGAGAAACTCCTTAGCAAACAGGAGTTCCTTCACACTTGCCCTCAAGCAGCCGGGGCGTGAACAGCCCACAGACTCGCCTTGAAGGCTAGAGCCTCCTCGGCTGAGCGGGACCTGGGGCTTGGGTGATTTTGCCTCCACCCCCAGCAACATCATGCTCAGCAGAGGGGCCCCCGCCCACAAGCCCAGGGGAGGTACCATGTTGCTGGACACAGTTTGCCTGGATGTTTCTCACCGATGCTCCTGTGTTTCCAGGTACTCTCTGTTCAGTTTCCCACTTCTACTAGAAAATGGGACTTCTCACATCACCGTGCCCAGAACTGAGGCTAGGAAGGCAATCGTGGGGGTGCTGCTCAGAGCCCAAGGCTGGGATCTGGTCTGCCTCCTGGGGGCCTTGGACGTGTCCCTGCCCCTCGCTGGGCCTCGGTTTTCTGTCTGAACTGACCGTTGGCACCGTCGAGGCTCCTCATAGTCCTTCCCTGACTCTGTGCCTGCTCCCCTCCCCGCTGTGCCCACAGGTATCCTCCCTGGGCAGCGGCAGCGACCATGTCATGGACGCCATCTCCCAGTGCGAGCAGTATGCCAAGGAGCAGGGTGCCCAGGAGCGCAACGCCCCCTGGAGGCTCTTCTTCCGCAAAGAGGTCTTCACACCCTGGCACAGCCCCTCTGAGGACAACGTGGCCACCAACCTTATCTACCAGCAGGTGGTGCGAGGAGTCAAGTTTGGGGAGTACAGGTGTGAGAAGGTGAGTGGAAGGGAATCTCCTGCCAGGCTGGCTTGGCTCACAGCCTGCTGTTTTCCACGTTTGGGCTGAGTGCTCCTCTGTGAGCCATCATTAGCTTAGGCTGAGGTGAGCCTGACCGCAGTTGGGCACTCTCCAGGCTCCTGGATGGACACCACCTACTTCAGGGGGCTCGGGAGGTGAGGTGAGATGTCAGGAGCAAGGGCTTCTGAGCATGTCCTGAATTCGCCAGTGGAGGAGGCCCCCACACTGCTGTAGTGACTGTGCATGCTACAGAGGACGTGCCTCAGGACCTGCTGCACTGTTCTGAGTGTGTCTAGTAAGCGCTGCTCTAAATGAGAAAGACAGCCATTCCTTGGATCAGAATTTGCAAATGTGTATTCTTTTTTCTCCTTCTGAGGACAGGAGTTATATGGTTGTTTTGTTTTTGATAATGGTAATGGTAGCTATGGTTCTGTTGGTGATTGTGAGGGAGGGATAAGAAAGGAGGTGATGGAAATGAAGAGGATGGTTGGTGGTGGTAACATTGGTAGAGGTAATGATGGTGTTGATGGTGGTGGTGGAGACAGTGATGATGGTTGGTGGTGATGGTGGATGTAGTGATGGTGTTGATGGTGGTGGTGGAGACAGTGATGTTGGTGGTGATGGTGGATGTAGTGATGGTGTTGGTGGTGGTGGAGACAGTGATGGTGTTGATGGTGGTGGTGGAGACAGTGATGATGGTTGGTGGTGATGGTGGATGTAGTGATGGTGTTGATGGTGGTGGTGGAGACAGTGATGATGGTTGGTGGTGATGGTGGATGTAGTGATGGTGTTGGTGGTGGTGGAGACAGTGATAATGGTTGGTGGTGATGGTGGATGTAGTGATGGTGTTGGTAGTGATGATGGTAGTGATGGTGGGTGGAGGCGGTGATGGTGGATGTAGTGATGGTGTTGGTAGTGATGATGGTAGTGATGGTGGGTGGAGGCAGTGATGGTGTTGGTGATGGTGGAGGTAGTGATGTTAGTGATGATGGTATTGTTGGTGCTGATGACAGTGGTGATATTGGAGGTAGGGATGATGTCGGTGATGGTGGTGGTGGTGGAGGTAGTGATAGTGCTGGTATTGATGACAGTGTTGTTGGTAGTGATGATGGTGATGGTAAAGGTAGTGATGGTGGTGTTGACAATGACAGTGTTGTTGGTAGTGGTGGTGTTGACAATGACAGTGTTGTTGGTAGTGATGGTGTTGCTGATGACAGTGTTGTTGGTAGTGATGGTGGTGGTGATGGTGGAGGCAATAATGATGTTGGTGATAGCGTTGGTGATAGTGTTGTTGGTGGTGGTGGTGGTGATGGTGGAGGCAGTAATGATGTTGGTGATAGTGTTGTTGGTAGTGATGGTGTTGGTGATGACAGTGTTGTTGGTGGTGGTGGTGATGGTGGAGGCAGTAATGATGTTGGTGATAGTGTTGGTAGTGATGGTGGTGATGGTGGAGGTAGTGGTGGTAGTTTTGTTGGTGACAGTGGTGATGATAATGGTGGCATTGGTGGTGGTAAGCAAATATTCAGGCAGAGCGCATTAGTATAGCCACACCAGTTGCTAAAGTTCTGAAATATTTCAAACTGGTTGGAAAATATCTATTGCCTTCAAGGCCCCCAGAAGCCTTTCTCTATGCCCTTGCTGCTGGAGCTCTGGGGAGCCCTAGGTAGGCATCACTGGGGCTGCTGTGCACCAGGCCAGGCAGAGAAGGGGCAAATGTCCAATGGCCACTTGGTTCTCTGAACCCTCTACAGTAGATCCTGCCAGCTGTTAACCACTTTAACCATCCCCCAAGTGCTTAACGATGGTGATGGAGGCAGCCACAGTGATGCACTCCCCTCACTTTGACCCCTCCAGCAGACCCCAGGTGTCTCCCATTCTCTAGGGCAGATGCTTCCTCTTCTGCTGTTTGTCAGCTCCGGTCACTGTCTCACAGGGCTGAGTGTGCAGTGGCTGCTCGATGGGCTGGCTTTTTTCTTTGAGTCACTTTTTGTGCCCCTGGGCAGAGTCCAGTTCCATGCCAGTGCGAAAGGGACCCAGGAGAAGGTGAGGGTATGGCCCTGCCCTTGGGGAGCTCATGGTTCCTCTGAGCAGACAAGAATTCCCTGGTGAATCAGTGAGAAGCCTGGGTCCCAAAAGCCAGGCTCTGAGAGCTACAGGAGTCAGGGCCAGGAGAGGGGCCTGGAGCCTTTGGTGGTGTGGAAGGGCTTCCTGGAGGGGCCTGGGCCAATGCATGACCTAGGCCTCCCCCCACCTAGGAGGACGACCTGGCTGAGCTGGCCTCCCAGCAGTACTTTGTGGACTATGGCTCTGAGATGATCCTGGAGCGCCTCCTGAACCTCGTACCCACCTACATCCCCGACCGCGAGATCACGCCCCTGAAGACGCTGGAGAAGTGGGCCCAGTTGGCCATTGCCGCCCACAAGAAGGTGAAGGGCTGGGAGGAGTCTTAGAGAAGGGATGTGGACCTGAACAACCAAGGAGGTCCCAGTCCTCATCTGAACCTGTCTGTTGGGGCTGCGGGAGATGGCATGGCACCTGACCTCCCACCTCCCAGTGGCCCTTCCTCACTGGACATCAGCTCACTCATTCTCCTGCCATCTGTGTGCCAGGCACACAGAGGGGATCAGACTTAACCCTGCAGCCTCTGTGGGGCCATGGGTATTGGGGCCCCTTTCCTGGTCTTGTGCCAGCCACTTGTTGGTGCTACAGCTTCCAGAGCTGCAGCTTAGGAGAGGTGGTGGACGCTAGACAGAGCTTTAGGAATTGTACCTCCTTTTTCCTAAAAGAACTCCAGCCCAACTTCCTGCCTGGGGAGCTTTAGGGACAGGCCCCCTTGACCCGCTTGCTTGGAGCCCAGGCCCATAACCAGCCATGAGTGGTTCCCTCCCAAGCTAAGAGCCTGCCCAAGTAGAGCAGGGGTATCCAAATGAGGAGAAGGTGGTAGCACTGGCTGCTGGTAGGGGACCCAGGGCCTCCTCATCTCCATAGTCTAGCTGTGCAAGAGAATTGTCCCTGCACATAAGTTGAGGGCTCCATAGTCTGAGGGCGCCACAGGCCCGCGGTCTCACCCCTCCACCTCGTGGCCTCCGTCCTCACCCGGGAGCCCTGTGCCGCCTCCACCTGACCGTGTGCCTTCTCTAGTCAGCTCCCCACCAGCCTCTGCCTCTCCCTGAGTCCCGAGTGCCCTCTGCGCCAGCCTGCTTCCCCTGAGGCCCTCACCCCCCTGAACCCCACTTCAGAGGAGGAGCGTCTCCTCCCTGCCACCCCTCTGTCCCTCATGTGAGACCCCTGCCCTTCATCCTCAGGCACCTCCTCTCCCTTGGCCCTCACGTGCCGGCAGTCACTGCAGCCTGTCCAGCTGCCTTCCAAACAGCTGCAGCCTCCACCCCCACCTCCGTGAGGGCCTCCTCGGGGCTCACTGCCACTGTGGCATGTGGTACATCCTGGGTGGGGCGCTATTATTATGCATTCATTTTATTTTGGGTGCTTGTCATGTGCTGGGCACCAGGACCTGGAGACACAGCCCTTTGTGGGACAGACACGGTTTCTGCCCTTTGGAGCCCACAGCTAAGCTGGGTCTCTCCTGGACTGAAGCTCCTCAGAGTATCTGTCCCGGAGCCGTGGGCCAGGTCCCTCCTAGAATGGACAGTTGTGAATCACAGTTTTTGTAGGGTGGGAGGGTGCATTGTTCATTTTCTAGGTCTGCCATAACAAAGTGCCACAGACTAGGTGGTTTCAACAACAGAAATAAATGTGTTTCCTTCCAGTTCTGGAGCCTGGAGCTCCGAGATCAAGGTGTCAGCAGGGGCTTTCTCCTGAGGCTTCTCCTCTCAGCCTGCAGATGGCCATCCTCTCCATCTGTCACCACACGGTGACGTGTGCACATGCACATCTGAGTCCAAATATCCTCCTCTTAAAAAGGCACCAGACATATTGGATTACAGCCCGCCCAAAACGATCTCATTAGTGACCTCTTTAAAGACCTTATCTCTGGGCCAGGGGCAGTGGCTCACGCCTGTAATCCCAGCACTTTGGGACGCCAAGCCGGGTGAATCATGAGGTCAGGAGTTCGAGACCAGCCTGGCCAACATGGCAAAACCCCATCTCTACTAAAAATGCAAAAATTCACCAGGTGTGGTAGTGGGTGCCTGTAATCCTAGCTACTCCGGAGGCTGAGGCAGGAGAATCACTTAAACCTTGGAGGCAGAGGTTTCAGTGAGCTGAGATTATGCCGTTGTGCTCCAGCCTGGGGGACAAGAGCAAGACTCCTTCTCAAAAAAAAAAAAAAAAAAAAAAAAAAAATTTTTTCTCCAAATAAGGTTACATTCTGGGGGTGAAGACTTTAATATGCAAATATGGTGGGTGGGGGAAGGAAGCACACAATTCAGTCCATAACAGAGGTGTTTTGAAAACATCTTATTTTGAAATAATTTCAAACTTATGGAGAGATTGCACATTCAAAAAAGTAGGACTGCTGTGTGCACTTCACTTCCCAGATTCACTGGATGCTAGCCACACTTGCTCAGTGATTTGTCTCTCTGCCTACATATGTATTTTCTCTGAGTCATTTGAGCTTGGGTTGATGACATTGAGCCATTTGCCTCTGAATTCTCACTGCTCTCAGGATGGCACCCCTCATGGGCTCTCTCATGGGTGGAGATGGGGCCGTCTGTGAGCTGGCATACACATCCACTCTTACCTATTCCTGTGTCTACATACTATAAAAACCAGGATTTCACTCTGACCCCTCCAATGCTACCACAGAACCCCAGAGTTCTCACTAGCGCTTGGGGAAGTATTTTTAGAGAAACACAATGCTGGTGCTTTTGTATCTTACCAAGAGCACGGCAGCACCCCCCACAGATCACCTCACCTCCAGGGTCCAGTTCTCCCTTGACACACTGATCTTTCTAACTCCCAGATTCACCAGATCAGTTTCTTGCAGTTGTGGCTGCACTCACAGTCCGCCAGGACCTGGCTCCCCACGCTGTGTCCCCATTCCCTCTCTTCCCAGTCTGCAGTCTGCAGTCTGCAGTCTGCACTGACCCGGGACCTTGGGCCTCCCACATGCTCTGGCTGGAATCCTTGTTTCCCTGTCTCTGCTCAACTGGGAACTCCCTGGAGGGGCAGCTATGCTTTCTCTGACTTTGGGCCGCAGCACCTGCATAGAGGTGGCACTCGAAAGTGCTCGCTGATGTTGATGAATGAGAAGGGTGGGGACAGGTGGCTGCAGACAGATGGGAGCAGGGCAAGGCCATGATGCACAGGAGGTGCAGGAGCCCCAGGCTGCTCCTAGCTAGAAGGCAGCAGCAGCTGATTTTTAGAGCAAACTCACCTGTACATTGTCTTGTGTCCCTCTGTCCCTTTTTTCCCTCCAGGGGATTTATGCCCAGAGGAGAACTGATGCCCAGAAGGTCAAAGAGGATGTGGTCAATTATGCCCGTTTTAAGTGGCCCTTACTCTTCTCCAGGTTTTATGAAGCCTACAAATTCTCAGGTACCCCCAGCCTGCGACACTCCCAGTCCCTTGCTCTGTAGCTCCAGTCCACAACAGGGGAGGGAAGCGGCTTGAGCCAGGGGCCCCCGTCAATGGAACTCTTGCCTGCTGGCTGCTTGGTCTGTTCTGGTCAATGCTGCTGAGTGGGTCCTGCCTCCCCAACACCCAGTAGCGACTCCATGGCACATCTTATGTGCTCGGTGGTGCATAAGATTGAAAAACTGAGTGAGGATTGATTCATTAAGGCACGTACTGTATATAGAACAGGGTGGCCCACACAGGCCACTGGCTCAGCCGTCCTTGGGCCATCGTTACTGGGCACCTGCTCTGTGCCAGGCCCTGTGCTGATGCTGCTGTTCACAGAACCACCAAGTACCAGCGCTGGAGGGAACCCTGGGTCTCAGTCCAACCCCGCCCCAGATCCCACTTCAGTGCAGGGCAGGGACTTGTCCAAAGCTGCACAAAGACCAGTGGCAGGAGTGGGACCCAAACCAGATTCCCAATTCAACACTCTCTTCCTATTGCACTTTGGGTTTTGTCACATAGCGAGTTTGTGCTCTCTGGGCCTCAGTTTCCCTATCTGTAAAACAGAAATCAGTGTATTGCCACCTCCTTGGCCATTATGAGGACTGAGAAGGGCTGGGCCTAGGGGTGGGAGGCCTGCCTCTCAGTGCCTTGGTCTCGACCCCAGGCCCCAGCCTCCCCAAGAACGATGTGATCGTGGCTGTCAACTGGACGGGCGTGTACTTTGTGGACGAGCAGGAGCAGGTACTTCTGGAGCTGTCCTTCCCAGAGATCATGGCCGTGTCCAGCAGCAGGTGAGGAGGGCCGCATGGAGACGCAGACAGACAGAGGGGAAGGAGAGGGGCCGGAGCTTCCCTGCGGGTCACTGGAAGTGAAGAGACATGAAGTGGCCTGCCTGGTTGCTCGTGATTGGGCAGTTTGTACCGCACTGTGAAGACCCCTCTGGCACCTCCTAGCGGAGGGATGGGCGTGGGCTTTACAGCACATTAAGGCTGTTCTGAGACAGGACTGGGCTGTCAGGACAGGTAGGGGCAGGCGAGTGTGTACAAAAGAGCTTGACCTGGGGTTCAGGGGCCTGGGTAGCACTCACTCTCTGTCTTCATTCCTAAAGCAGGAGTCTTAATACTTTTCTTGCATAACAGTGGTGAGGAATGAATGCAATAATAGATGGGAGAGCTCTTTGTAAACTGCAGAGCACGGCCACACAGGTGGAATGGTGGGGTGGGTTGCTGGGACTGACTGGCTTTCCTAGCAGTGCAGTGGCTCCCTCCCCCACCATCTGGGGCTTGTAGCAGTGTCTTTGGGTTATGTCTGATATGGGCTGGAGACCAGACACATGCCAGGCACACAGGATGCAGTAGTGACAAGATAGTCCTTGTCCTCTTGGATCTTCAGTCAAGAGAGGAGACAGACATTGAATAGGCCATTTTAAAGCATGCTATGATCAGGGCTGTGGGAGGGCAGGGAGGACTACCTGGAGGAAGTGGCATGTAGGTTGAGATTTAAAGGGTGAGTAGGAATTAGACAGGCAAAGGAGAAGTGGGTCGGGCCAGTGTGGGTCTCCCTCTGGGCCATGCCTGACTCTGGCCAGGCCAGCTCTGACTTAACCTGAGATGTGTCTGAGCTGGGCCACATCTCCCACTGGCTGGGGCACGTCTGACTCGACTGGCCTTGGTCTCCTTCAGGGAGTGCCGTGTCTGGCTCTCACTGGGCTGCTCTGATCTTGGCTGTGCTGCGCCTCACTCGGGCTGGGCAGGACTGACCCCGGCAGGGCCCTGTTCTCCGTGTTGGTCCTGCAGGGGAGCGAAAACGACAGCCCCCAGCTTCACACTGGCCACCATCAAGGGGGACGAATACACCTTCACCTCCAGCAATGCTGAGGACATTCGTGACCTGGTGGTCACCTTCCTAGAGGGGCTCCGGAAGAGATCTAAGTATGTTGTGGCCCTGCAGGATAACCCCAACCCCGGTGAGTGGCTGCTGGTATGGGCTGCCTGGCACTGGGGGTCGGGGCGTTATGCAGACTGTCTTAGTCCATTTGCGTTGCTATAATGGCATACTGGAGGCTGGGAGATTTATAAAGAAAAGAGGTTTATTTGGCTCACAGTTCTGCAGGCACTACAAGAAGCATGGTGCTGGCTGGGCATGGTGGCTCATGCCTGCAATCCCAGAGCTTTGGGAGGCTGAGATGGGAGGATCACTTGAGGCCAGGAGTTCAAGACCAGCCTGGGCAACATAGTGAGACCCCTGTTTCAACAAAAGATTAAATAAATTAGCTGGGTGTGATGGCATGTGCCTGTAGTCATAGCTCTTCAGGAGGCTGAGGTAGGAGGATTGTTTGAGCCCAGGAGGTGGAGGCTGCAGTGAGCCATGATTGTGCCACTGCAGTCCAGCCTGGGCAAGAGTGAGACCTCATCTCTTAAAAAAAAAAAGAAAGAGAAAAAAGAAGCATGGCACCGGCATCTGCTTCTGATGAAGGCCCCAGGAAGCTTCCACTCACGGCAGAAGGAGAAGGGGTGCTTGCATCAGAAGGAAGGAAGAAAGGAGGAGTTGCCAGGCTCTTTTAAACCATCAGTTCTCGCAGAGACTCACTCATCACTGCGAGCGCGGCGCCACGCTGTTCATGAGGGCCCCACCCCCATGACGCAAACACCTCACGCTAGGCCACTGCCAACACTGGGAGACCAGATTTCAACAGAGAGATTTGGAGGGGACAAATATCTGAACCATATCACAGACCATGCCCTGTGGCCTTGGCACTCAAGGCTGCTAGGGTCTTGTTCCCATCTTTCCCCTGAAACTAGACCAAATAGCCTTCAATCTGTGGTCTGTGGGGAATCTCCTCTCCCTCCCGTCTTCTGGCTCTTCCATATTCATCTCCTGTCAGCTCTCCAAGTTAGATCAGGGTCCTCCTCAGTGTTCTCAAAATACGCACCATCTTCAAGTGATAACAGCAGTAACAACTACTCTGCCGGAGGCCACCGAGGCCCTGGCAGAGTGTGGGAAAGACAAAGATGAAATGGACCCCACCCTGTCCTCAGTGGGGAGTGGGTGGGAAGCAGACAGTGACAGGCCTGTGACGGTGCAGTAAGCAGGGAAGCCCAGAGCCACAGGAGCCCAGAGGAGAGGCCCCATGCAGACTGGGGTCCAGGGAGGAAGCCCGTGTGAGCAGAGCGCAGGGGCCAGAAAGCGGAACGTGATGCCAGCACAGAGGCGGGAGAAAGCTGGCCTGTCCAGGCAACTGCAAACAGTTTGGTTTGGCTGGAAACAGGCACGGTGAGGGAGGAGGGGCAAGGTGGAGGGAGTCTGGGAGGCCCGCTCACAACAGGCTTAGGAGTGTGGGGCTTCCTCCCAAGGGCAATGAGGAGCCGTAGAAGGCTTTTGAGCAGGAGAGTAGCCCACTCTGGTGATGGTCTTTGTATGGAGAGTTGTGACAAGGTGGAGGCAGAGTGGCAAGTGGGCAGACACGAGTGACAGCACCTCAGTTCTTCTGTGGGAAGTAGTGGCTTATAGATCATCAACCCAAATAAAGATGTTCCAACTCAGCTTGTCTCTGCCCCCGTGGTCCCGCTCACCTCTGCCCTGCAGCGGGCGAGGAGTCAGGCTTCCTCAGCTTTGCCAAGGGAGACCTCATCATCTTGGACCACGACACGGGTGAGCAGGTCATGAACTCGGGCTGGGCCAACGGCATCAATGAGAGGACCAAGCAGCGTGGGGACTTCCCCACCGACTGTGTGTACGTCATGCCCACTGTCACCATGCCACCGCGGGAGATTGTGGTATGTGGCCTGGGGGCAGCAGATGGGTGGGAGGTGCCATTAGACCCCTCTTCATCCACTTCCCACAGCTGTATGATAGGTTAATGGTCTAGTGCATCTGTGAAGATGATCTTGGGATCTTATGGGACCACACATTTAAAGTTGGGGCAGCGCTCAAACCTGTGCCAGGTGGGGAGGGGTCTAGAAATGGCATCAGATGAGGAACTGCCAAGGGGTGGGGCTGGAGATGGGGACTGGAGAGAGGTGTATCACCTGCACTGTCTGAACAGGCAGTGGGGGCACAGCTGGCAAGGGGGCCCTGCTTCTTCTGGAGCCCCCTTGAGAGCAGCTCTGAGGACTTACAGCCCAGCTTCCCCAGTGGCTCCTGAGCCAGGCTCAGTGGACGAGGCAGCTCTCACACCATGTCCCCCTGCCTCGTCCAGGCTTTCTGACTGACCCGACCTCATCGGACACCCAGGGAAGGGCCCTCAGCTCAGCACAAAAGAGGCAGCAGGGACCTCAGAGACCCCAAGGAGGAACAGGGCTCCCAGGGTCAGAATGGGGCATGGGGTCCATCCCCCTGAAGAGTCTCCCAGAGTCCAGAAGGCTCCAGGGTATACCGTGTTGATCCTGGTGGCTGCAGGTGGAGAGCTGACCTGAGCCCCCTGTCTCTTGGCCCCTAGGCCCTGGTCACCATGACTCCCGACCAGCGGCAGGACGTCGTCCGGCTCTTGCAGCTGCGAACGGCAGAGCCTGAGGTGCGTGCCAAGCCCTACACGCTGGAGGAGTTCTCCTACGACTACTTCAGGTGATGGCTCCTGGGGAAGGATGGGAGTCACAGGGCTAGGAGCTGCAGGCTTCCGCTACCGTCTGGTTGTGTGCTGGGGATACTTTGTGAAGCCCCCACCTGTGAGCAGGACCTGGGTCAGAGGGAGCTGGAGGGCTGTTTCTGTCTGATGACCCGTCCTGTGTGTCTCATCTTATCCTTCCTTCATTTAAGACATGTCACTGCACCCGCCCCAGGCTGGGCATTCGAGCCTCAGTCCTGGTGGGGATGCGGGCCGGAAGCAGGCAGCTGGGATTCTGCGTGCCCAGCACTGTGATGAGGATGCTTTCGGGGTGGGGGGCGGGGGGTGCAGTGAGAAGCTTCCTGATGGAGGTGGTGTGCACTGAGGTCTGCAGGGGGCACAGGGTGGTGGGGGAGGCTGGGGCACAGCCCGGGGTGTTCTCACTGTTTCATAGCTGAGAAAGGAAGGCCCAGTGACTGCCAGTGACTCGCCTCGGGTCACATGCAGGGCAGGGAAGAGCAGGGCCTGGTGCCCACCCTCAGCCTCTGGGCACAGGGGGTAGGTGGGGGTGGGGGTCTCACAACCTGGGGGTTTCTCCCTGGGGCTGCCAGCAATGGGGCCGTTGCTGACGGTCCCTGTGCTATGGCAGGCCCCCACCCAAGCACACGCTGAGCCGCGTCATGGTGTCCAAGGCCCGAGGCAAGGACCGGCTATGGAGCCACACGCGGGAGCCGCTCAAGCAGGCGCTGCTCAAGAAGCTCCTGGGCAGTGAGGAGCTCTCGCAGGAGGCCTGCCTGGCCTTCATTGATATCCATGCTACTGGGCTGTACCCAGCGGAGCCAGGGACTGGGCAGGGCCTTCATCTGCACACCACCTGCCTCCTGAGGGCCTGCTGCGGCCTGGGCACGCGTGGGGAGGGTTGATGGAGGACCCCCTCCCTTGCACCTTTTGATATGCAAGGGGCTGCCTCGCTCATTTTCTTCTCTGACCCTGTCATTTGGGTGACAGGTGGATTTGGTGCCTTGTGCTGGGCCAGGCATGGAGGTAGAGCAGGAATCAGCCCAGCCCCTGGCCTCATGGGACCATACGCACATCCAGATCAGTGCTGAGATGGGACCGGGCAGCTGTGACCTGACCCATGTGACCTGGAGGGGGCAGGGAGGACTTCCTGGAGGAAGTGGTATCTAGACTGAGCCCTGAAGGCTAAGTAGGACTTAGCCAGGCAAAGGGGAGAGGGGTGGGGAGTGTTCCAGAGAGAGAGAGTAGCAGTAAGGCCCTGAGGTGCGCGCGCGCACACACACACACACACACACACACACACACACACACACACACACACACAGAGCAGGGCTGTTCCAGGGCTCCGGGGCTTCAGCACAGAGAGGATGGGAAGAGTGGGCTTAGGCAGGGTTCCCAAGCCCTGTGAGGAAGCTTGGGCCATGTCCCAAGGCCAGGGTGAACCACTGGGCAGAGGTGGCATGGTCAGATTGGCGATCTGGGCAGTCCGTCCCAGCTGCTGTGAGGGCTTGGGATGCGGGGCTGGTGGCTGTGAGGAGGTGAGGATAGAGGGTGGGGCAGATCACGCCCATTTTGTGAGTATGCAGCCTGAGGGCCCAGGGTCACAGCTTCAGGTGATGCAGGCCCTGTGGGGAGTGGGGCCTCCAGACCCCAGGCCAGTGCCCCTCTATTCGGCACAAGCCCTTCCTTGACAGTCCCCACCTGTGCTCAAGTACATGGGCGACTACCCATCCAAGAGGACACGCTCTGTCAACGAGCTCACCGACCAGATCTTTGAGGGTCCCCTGAAAGCCGAGCCCCTGAAGGATGAGGCGTACGTGCAGATCCTGAAGCAGCTGACCGACAACCACATCAGGTGAGCCAGGCACGGTGGGTGGACGAGGGGCAGACCCCACCTGCTGTGATGGGCAGCTCTTTCCCTCCTGAGACAGCCGCTGGCCCTGCCTGGATGCAGTCATTCCTCACACAGAGCCAGGAGCTGCTCATGGGCCCCCTCACATCCTAGCTTGGCTCCAAGGCCCAAGGAAGGCCTAGCAGGAACTGGGAGGTGGTGGCTGTCTTCCTTTGAGTCTGTCCTCTAAGGGTAACAGCCCCAGCTCCTCCTGTTTGGCTGGAGCCCCCTCTGGATACCCCTCCCCTGCCTAGATGCTGCTGTCTGCCTGCAGGTCCAGCTCAGTCAAGTGTCCCCTCCCTGGTGCAGGCTGGGCCAGCTGTCAGCTGAAAGCACTGGCTGAAAACTCTCATGGGTTTGGGTGTTGGGCCCAATGCCCAAAGGGTGCCACCTTCTCCTCCCCTTGGGACAGCCCGAGGCAGGAGTAGGAAGTCAGGTACCGGCTCCTCTCAGAGTCTGAGAGAAGCTCCACCCTCTCTCCTTATACCCAGCCTCCCGCTTTCCTCCCCAGCTGTGTCACCCTCTACATCTCTTCCACAAATCCATCCTCAAACGACACATCAGCTCTTTCGACAGTGCCAAACCTTTGTACATGCTGTGCCCACAGCCAGGAAAACTTTTCAGCCCCGTCTCTGCATGCCATAATTTGCTTCATCCTTCAAAGCCTAGTTCAAATGCCACCTCCTCCTAGAAGCCCTCCAAACTTCCCACTGTCAGACCCAAGAAGCTCAGAGTGGTCGCTGAAGGAGCCTGGGGTGGGACTGGTCTAACTCGTTGCCACTCAAAGTACAGGTGAATTAAAGAGCTTCTGCCAAAATATAAATCACGCTGCCTCCTTCATGGAGAAAGTCTCGCTATGGAAACAAACAAAAAGCCTCAGCTGAAGCAGAGGGCATGGTAAACTGGTGGCTTTTCACTGTGACATAAGCCTCTTATCTCCATGTGGTAGCAGTGTGTGGCCTGGTGCGGTGGGCCAAGCACACTTTGGGTAGCACTGGTTGCATCTGGCTGTCAGGGAGAGGGGTCTGTAGGTAGGCTGAGGGGTCCTGAGACAGGTTAAGGGTCGGGAGGGACGGTGCTGCTGTGATGAGCAGCTGAGGGGTGTGTGGCCCCCTCACTGAGGGGTGTACAGGTCTTGGGACTCCTGATGGCAACTGCCCCTGCTGGAGCCCGCGCTTCCTCCTGCAGGTACAGCGAGGAGCGAGGTTGGGAGCTGCTCTGGCTGTGCACGGGCCTCTTCCCACCCAGCAACATCCTCCTGCCCCACGTGCAGCGCTTCCTGCAGTCCCGAAAGCACTGCCCACTAGCCATCGACTGCCTGCAGCGGCTCCAGAAAGCCCTGAGGTACAGCGGCCGCCAGGGGCAGGGGCAGACACTGGGGCAGGCTCCTGGCCACACTGGGCTTGTGGAACGAGCCCCTTGGGGATGAGGACCACATAGCAGTTGGGCCAACCCCTGGGGTACCTCAACTGCCAGGTAGAAGGAGGTGCAGGCCCCGCAGCCGCTCTGGATGCAGCTGGAGAGTCTGGCTGCTCTGGAGTGCTCAGCCCAGAGCTCCCAGGCTATCGGTGGGCACAGACACCAGGGCCCACTTCATACTCTCCAAGGGCACTGCGTTCTTCACTTTGCTGGGCCTCTCCACACCCATCGTCCCATTTTACAGATGAGGAGCTCAAGGCTCTGGGAGACTCAGTGGCCAGTCACATCATAGGAAGTGGCAGGCTAGGATCAGAACTGGGGTTGTCTGCCTCCAAATGTCCCGGTCCCCTGGTCTCCACAGTCCCACGCACCTGCTCCCTGCTGCCTCTGTTACCTTTTCAGAAATGGGTCCCGGAAGTACCCTCCACACCTGGTGGAGGTGGAGGCCATCCAGCACAAGACCACCCAGATTTTCCACAAGGTCTACTTCCCTGACGACACTGACGAGGTGAGCGTCGCCAGCTTCTAGGTCTGCAGTGCCCAGGACAGGGCCGGGCTTCCTGGGTGGACACCAAAGGCAGCCTTAAGCCTCTCCCCCAACACCCAACATTTGCTGCCTCGTCCTCCTTCCCCATAGTGGAGTCAGAGCTCAGGACAAAGGCCATCGACTCCCCAGGTCAGGGGCTCTTAGTTCCTGATCCAGCTGCTGCTTCCTGGAGCAGCTTCCTTCAGAAGGGCACCCCTCCCTCCCTGTCTCTGAGGAGGACCTGCCTTGGAGAAAAGCACTTCTCCCTCTGAGCTGGCTTTGCACCTCCCTGGTGCAGTGCCCCGTTGGTCCCCAGGTCCAGGCCTCCCCTGTCACCTGAGCCCACTTTCCTGCAGCCAGAACCTCGACACCCCTTCCTCCCTCCCCACCTGAGGTGGTTGAGGTTCCCTCCATCCAGGTCCTGTCTGCCAAAGGTCCTGTCTGTCATGCCTGTAATCACGCTGCCCCTCATGGTCCCCAGCCCCTGCCTGTCTCAACACAGTGTCTCATTCAGATAAACTTTTCATTTGAAGAGTCGTTGATGAAATTTGTCTGAGGCTGGAAGCTCAGAAATGCCACGACAGGATTTTAGTTGCAAGGACCAAGGACTTCCTCACATCCGTTCCTGTCCCTCCAGACATCTCTCCTCCTGCATCTAAACTTCCCCAGATGCTCAAACCCTCCCATCTGTCTGCGCTGCTTTCCCCTCCACTTTTGGGTTTGCTTCTCCTCTACCTCAAGTCTCCTCCTCCCAATCACCCTTCCAAGCATCCTGCCGTGCTCCCTGGACCCCTCACTGTCACTCAGGCTTGTACACCCCGGCCCAGGACTCTGGACGCCAAGGCCACGTTCTGCTTGGAGGGTCGGGAGGAGGAGACCTGGGAAGACCCAGACAGGTGTAGCCCTTTCCTTTTGTTAAACGCCATGCCCAGCTCTGGGCCCACAGGAGGGTGTCTGGCACGCGAGGGGGCTCAGTACAGGAGGCACAGCCAGAGGGGCCCGGGAGGACCAGGTCCTGGGAAAGGCCCTGCAGGAGCCCAGTGCTCACCGCCCCTCCCAGGCCTTCGAAGTGGAGTCCAGCACCAAGGCCAAGGACTTCTGCCAGAACATCGCCACCAGGCTGCTCCTCAAGTCCTCAGAGGGATTCAGCCTCTTTGTCAAAATTGCAGACAAGGTGGGTCCTTCGCCACCTTCGCCACCTTTGCCAAGGTGGGAGATTTGCTGGGGCAATAAGAACTTATGGACAACAAGAGGGAAGACAGAGGGACTAGGGGAGAGAGGGGAAGAGGGCACTGGCATCTGGCCATCTTCTTCCATCCCTTACATGGAGTGGCTGCCCCCAGCTCTCTCTCTTCTGAGGCACTGCACATGGCTCAGACCCTCTTAGGGGCATGTGCCCAGGTGCTCTGTGTTCTAGACACACCAGACCCTCACCCTGCCCCCACACATGTTCTTTCCAGATTTGCTTTGACTGGCCCTTAATTGCCATGCTAGGGCAAATTAACCCTTGAAATAAGGTGTGATCATCCCCACTTGATAGATCACAGAACTAGGGCTCAGAGAGGTTAGGTAACTTGTCCAAGGTCACACAGCAGGGACTGAGCTCCAGGTGGGTCTGACTCTAAAGCTCATGCCCCTGCTACCATCTCACTTCACATTTCCCCAAATACCTCTGTCCCTGGAAGTCTTCCAGGCCTAGCTAAAGCCCCCTCCACGGGAAGGCCTCCCTGACCGAGTTAGGTGCCTCATCCTGTTGCCTGCTGATGGCTCTGTGTGCATCTGTGTCTGTCTGCTCACTTCATGACTGTCTCTGTGCCAGACACTGGGACCCAGAGGTGACCCTGATGAGGTCCTAGACCCAGGGGTGCCCAGAGCTGCGGGAGGATCTGGACATGGATGCCAGAGAATGTCCAAGCCAGGGGCTGGGCTGCATTCTTGTCCAGTTTCCCTTGAGTCTAAGGCAGCCTTCAGTGTCCCAGGCACTGAATGGAATGACCATCACTCCCGGCAAGAAGTGGGCTGTTCTGGGGACACTCAACAGGCACATGGGGCAGGGTGGGGCTGACCCACAGAAACCCCTTCTGGCTGGAAGTGGAGTCTTCCCTGAGAAGGAGCTGCCAGACAGGCCTTAGGTGGGAAGGTCAGAAAATGCAGTGTTTCTTAAACTGAGTGTGCTTCAATGGCCCTGTCCCCAGGTCATCAGCGTGCCTGAGAATGACTTCTTCTTCGACTTTGTTCGACACTTGACAGACTGGATAAAGAAAGCTCGGCCCATCAAGGACGGTAATGAGGCCGGGTCCTGGGATCATGTGAGGCCCAGAGTAGGGAGGCACAGGTTCAGGGCCATGCTGTGAGGCCCACCTAGGCGGGCCTGAGCGAGGGTCTCCTCTGGGGCTGGGGCTGGGCTGGGCTCGGGATGTGAGCACTCCTCTGTGCAGGGACCCTCTGGGTGACCGACTGCCCTGTGCTGCAGGAATTGTGCCCTCACTCACCTACCAGGTGTTCTTCATGAAGAAGCTGTGGACCACCACGGTGCCAGGGAAGGACCCCATGGCCGATTCCATCTTCCACTATTACCAGGTGGGCACCTCTGCACTCTAGTTGCCTTCATGCATGGCTAGTGTTGCTGTACTTTGGCCCTGAAAGCAGAGACCCACTGCCCTTGCCAGGTGTGGGGCCTGTACCAGCCTGGCCTTGAAAGGATTCCTGCCAAGACCACTGGAGCCCCAAGAGAGGGCCCAACCCTTGATCCTTGTATCTCCTGACTCTTCAGCCCTTAGGGGCTTGACAGTTCCTCCTCTGAGCTTCTGATCCCTACCTGTTCAGGCCCCTCCTTCAGTGCAGGGCTGTTCTCTGACTTCGAGATTCTGCTGCTGTAACTGGGTAACTCCAAGGCCTCTGTGCAAACATTTTCTAGCACAGGCACCTGAAGGAAGCCGGGAGGGAGGCTTGCATGTTGAGCCTCTATTATGTATCTGGCATTCTTCTTTCATTCTGTCCTCCCAATAACCCCAAGAAGCAGGCATGTTGTCCCCATTTGACAGAGGGATAAACAGACTCAGAGAGGCCACGTGCTGTAAGTAGGATCACACAGCTAATGGAACTGGGGTTTGATTCCAGGTCTTCATGACTGCAGGTTGGTGCTCTTTTCTGGGCCCAACCTGCTTGCCATTCTGTGGGAGAAAAACCAGGATGCTAGGAAGGGCAGAGGAGGCAGGGATGGTGGCTGCTGTGGCAGAGAGGACACTGGCCTGGGAGTGAGAAGGACTGCCCTCATCCAAACCTGGGATCTGCCTTTCCCTCACGCCCCTCCCCACCCACCCCCTGCTGCCCACTGAGCGCATGGCCCCTGGACTGCCAGTTCCCCCAGAGTCAGCCTTGACATTTGCTCCTCCTCTCCCACGTCCCAAATCACTTACCTGATGACTGTACCTCCTGGATATCTCTAAAATCCCCCATGTGTCTCCATCACCACCTTCCCAACCTGGGTCAGTCCACCATCATCTCTGATCCAGAATGGAGGCAGTGACCGTCTCCCTGTTCTCCTCATCCATTTTGGCCCTTTCAACCCTTTCTCCACAGGGTGGTCGTCCTGCTTTCCAGATTCCCCCAGTGGCTTCCCCTTGCTCTTAGGGCGTAACCCCCGTCCTGACCGTGGCCCTGCCGGGTGGTACCACTACCTGCTCCTGCTGCCTTGCCTTGTACCTGGCTCTCCTTCGGCTCAGCTGGATTGTTTCCACTTCTCAAGTGTGCCACGGGGCCGTCGTAATGTTGGGATGCTCTTCCCTCACCTACTGAGCTTTTAGATGTCAATCAGCCATCTTATCTTAAAGGAAGTCTGCCCTGCCCTCAAGCCTAGATTAGGTCACCTTGTTATATTCTCTTATGGCACTGTGAACAATTCCTTCGAAGGTTGTCATTATGTGTCTGTTTGGTATGATTTTTAATGTCTGTCCTTGCCCTGAGACTCCAAGTTCCATGGGAGTAGGGAGGGTAGGCATTGTTGCTTAAAGGGCCTGGCTCATAGATGTTCAATGCATACTTGTTGGATTGATGAATGGGGAATAGGTAAACCGGTGACTCAGGGAACATATAGGTGGGAGGATGAATGCTGAGTGAATTGATGGGTGGATATTGGTGAGTGAATGGGTGAGTAGGTAGGTGAGTGGGTGGATGGGTGGGTAGATGGATGGACAGGTAGGGAGATGGATGGAGGTAGGTGTGTAGGTACATAGACCCATAACCACATGGATGGGTGGATAGGATAGCTAATGATTGACTCAGGTCTCTGATTGACAGTATGTCCTCAGGTCAGCCTCAGTTTCTCTACCTTTCAAATCGTGCATGAGATGATCATAAGGCTCCAGGAGTCTGTGGGCAGCCCCAGCCCTTCAGAGGCTTCGTCTCTGCCCTGGGCTGATTCCCCAGCATAAGTTCCTCGGGTTTGGGGTCTGGAAGTTCAAGGGGGTGTGAGGGCCTCTGTTGCTGTTGCTGCTGCTGCTAAAAGCAGCTGGTCTCAAGAGAACCCAGTGCAAGGAGGCCAGACTGAGAGGCTCTTCCAAAGGAGAATGGGCCCAGGAGGTGACAAGTATAGAACAGTCTCAGGGTTGCCAGCTGGTCACTCTGAGTTTCTTCATCTTGAAATGGGGCTGCTCATCTCACTGGACTGTTACAGGGGGATATGAGGTAACTGACAAGGCCATGCGCTCCAACTGCCGAGTGCTGAGTCTGTGCAGGCAGACTTGCTCTGTCCCTGTCCTGTGCCATCTCCCCTGGGGGAGCAGTGTCAGCTGAGGCTGGAAAGGTGGGTGGGCCCATGTGCGGGGTAAGGTGGTAGACCCTGGCCTTGGGGATCTTGGTGTGGTAGGAAAAGAGCCCACTTCTGCCAGGTCCCTGCACGCCTGTGACCTGCTCTGTCTCTGGCAGGAGTTGCCCAAGTATCTCCGAGGCTACCACAAGTGCACGCGGGAGGAGGTGCTGCAGCTGGGGGCGCTGATCTACAGGGTCAAGTTCGAGGAGGACAAGTCCTACTTCCCCAGCATCCCCAAGCTGCTGCGGGAGCTGGTGCCCCAGGACCTTATCCGACAGGTCTCGCCTGATGACTGGAAGCGGGTGAGCATGGGGTGGGCAGCAGGAATGGTGGGGCCCTGAATGGGCCTCTGGGCACCGCAGGGGCCAAGGGGGCAGACGCTGGCCAGCAGCCCAGGGAGGTGTGTCTTGTGGTTCCTGTACTCGATGAGGCCGCCCACCCTTGTTCCTCTGCCTGCCTTATCCTTCAGTCCTCCATGCCAAGCACTCAGTGGCCAAGTGGCAGTCATTTGCCCTGTCCCGGTTACCATGGTGACCTGCTTGTCCTTGATACCCTTTGGTCTGCCTGCCTGGGGGTGAGAAGGGAGGTCGGGAGTCCATTAGCTGAAATATGGGGAGAGCCCTTCACAGCACTCCAGGATGGGGCTGGAGTGGGCAGGGGTGGTGTGGGGAGGACTCTGAGCCCTGAGCAGGCTTGTCCCCAGGACTGAGCCCAGCCCTGACCCCCCTGTCCCCATAGTCCATCGTCGCCTACTTCAACAAGCACGCAGGGAAGTCCAAGGAGGAGGCCAAGCTGGCCTTCCTGAAGCTCATCTTCAAGTGGCCCACATTTGGCTCAGCCTTCTTCGAGGTGAAGGTACACCATGGGCTTCTCAGAACAGAGGAGGAGGGGAACAGGGCATTGAGAAGGCACAGAGACTCCTCCCCAGGACTGTGGGAAACAGCCATGGCCTTGGACACCTGCCCTGGTGAGGGAAGGAGGGCAGTACCCTCAGCCTTGTCCCAGCTCAGCGTCTTAGCTGGGCTAAGTCCTGGGGACAGAGGGACCAAAAGCTCAGCCTGGCAGTGGAGGCAGGCGTGTAAACAGGCCGGGGTAATGGAGGACGGCCTATGCTCTGACAGTGGGGAGCCCTCGCCCAGGTGGCAGAGCTCGGGAGGTTCTGCCGGGTCTGAGGAGGCCTCCTAGAGGAGGTGATATGTGAGCTCTCCAGGGAGACCCTGGAAAGAGTGCTCCTGGCAGGGGTCCCGCATAGACAAAGGCCTGGAGGCGTGAGAACTCAGGTCTGGGAAGGAAATGCAAGTAGTGAGGGCAGGAGGCAAGAGCAGGCTGTGGAGAGCAGCAGCTTGCCAAGCAGGTGAGAGGCTGGGTTTCCTGCAGCGGTGGCCTGCCTTGGAGGGTTTTCAACCCAGGTGACATGGCCAGAAAGCCTCTCAGGCTGTGGGTGGAGGAGGGGTCTGAGGGGCACAACAGAGGCAGGAGTATGGTGAGGAGCCTGGTGTGAGAGGACAGATGTGGTCTTGTCACACAGCTAGGATCAGAGGCCTTTTGAGAAGCTCGGCTGTGTGAGAACAGGTAAGTAGCTGGGGGCAGATGCAGGGTTCAGGAGGCTTTTTAAAGATGAGATGTCCTTGGGCTGAGAGGGAGGACAAAGCAAAGGATGGCCTGGGGGACCCATGAAGGGATGTGGGGCAGCACTGAGGCCCAGCGAAGGTGGAGGCCATGAGGTCATGGCAGGGCCGTCAGCACCACATAGGCAACAGGAGAGGCTAGCCGACTTTATCCCAGCTGGGGCCAGGCTTCATTCCTTTCTCCAAACGCTTTTCTTGCTCTGGGTCCCCATCTGATGCCTTCTCATCTTTTTTTCTAGCAAACTACAGAGCCAAACTTCCCTGAGATCCTCCTAATTGCCATCAACAAGTATGGGGTCAGCCTCATCGATCCCAGAACGAAGGTGAGCAGGGATAAGAAGGCAAGTGAGGGTGGGCTTCTCTGCCTGAACCTCAGACACAGTCCTGGAACAAACCCCGCAAGCCCTCCTAGCCACCGTCTATCTGCAGACTCATCCACCCATCATGCGACTTCAAAAGCTGTCAGCGTTTGCTGGGACTTTACCCAACATTTGCTCCACAAAAATTACTCTCCTGAAGTTACTAACAAACTCCTTCCTATGGAATCTGAGCTCCTTTTAGTACTTGGCCTTTCAGTATCACTGGATGCCCTGCCCATGTGGATTGTGGGGCCGGCTGTGCAGGGGTGACTGTGCATCTGTGTTTCTGGGCCAGAGCAGCCCGACTGCACACCCAGAGGGTCTGACTGGACAGGTAGTGAAGAGGGCTTGTGACCACCATCTGTCCATTGGCTTCATGCGTCACACATTCCTGGCTCTCCTCTGTGTTTTGGTCATTCCTTCCCGGACCCTTTTGTGCCTGCTCCTGTACGCTGTGTTCCCCAAGGCTCTGCCCTGTCGTCTTCTTGACTCCCTCCTCAAACTCTCCCTGGGCCATCTCATTCAGGCCACAGTGTCAGTTCCCTTAGGCCTTCCAATTTCCCAGTTCTGGCCCCAAGTACCCCTACCCAACAGCCTCCTAGACTTCCCTGGGTGTCCAAACCAAGGTGTGGAGGGGGAGGCACCTGCTTCCCACCACAGCTGGATGGCAGAACTGGCTTTTCCCTCGGGCCATGGGCTCCTCTGAGGGCCTGAGGCCTTCTGCGAGGGCATGTGTGGGTGAGTGAGGCCACAGGGCCCAGGCTGTGCCTCTCCATGCCCTTTCTGCTCCCCCAGGACATCCTCACCACTCACCCCTTCACCAAGATCTCCAACTGGAGCAGCGGCAACACCTACTTCCACATCACCATTGGAAACTTGGTGCGCGGGAGCAAACTGCTCTGTGAGACATCACTGGTGAGGGCGCATCCTGCTTGGCCTGGTGGGCTCCCTGCCTTGCTTGCAGCTTAGCCAGCCTCCCAGGGCCTGGAACAAACAGTAGTGTGCGGTTGGGCCTGGGGTCATGGGCAAGGGTCATGCTGGGGCCAAGGTCAGGTCAGTTTGAGGCTCAGCTTAGGTCTGGGGAAGGGACTTAATCTGGGGCTGAGGAACAGACCCCTCATTCAACAACTGTTGTTTGAGTGCCTTCAGTATCTGGAGATTGAGCCCGCAGTGACAGCCCTTTAGTCCCCGAGTTCAATAGCGGAACCATTAACGAGACCTCCTGGACCAAGCTCAAACTTCCAAGACATAGCTCAACTGAGAACCAGTAGAGTCACTCCTGGAGGGAGGGATCTGTGACTTGAGGGACCCACAAGCTAGGGGCCTAACGTGGGGTCCTAACAGTGTAGAACCTTAACCATCTGGCTGGCTGAATTCAACCCTTCAACTGTGCAGATGGGAGATGAGTCCTGAGTGGGAGGGATTTGCCTTTTTTTTTTTTTTTGAGACGGAGTCTCGCTTTGTAGCCCAGGCTGGAGTGCAGTGGCCGGATCTCAGCTCACTGCAAGCTCCGCCTCCCAGGTTCACGCCATTCTCCGGCCTCAGCCTCCCAAGTAGCTGGGACTACAGGCGCCCGCCACCTCGCCCGGCTAGTTTTTTTTTTTTGTATTTCTTAGTAGAGACGGGGTTTCACCGTGTTAGCCAGGATGGTCTCGATCTCCTGACCTCGTGATCCGCCCGTCTCGGCCTCCCAAAGTGCTGGGATTACAGGCTTGAGCCACCGCGCCCGGCCTGGGATTTGCCTTTGTCCTGGGTTCTGTCCACTGCAGATTCCTGGGAGCTGTGCTATGGTCTGAGTGGCTGGCCCCGTCCCACCATGTGCTCTGCTTATCTTCTCACCCCTGCTTCCAGGGCTACAAGATGGATGACCTCCTGACTTCCTACATTAGCCAGATGCTCACAGCCATGAGCAAACAGCGGGGCTCCAGGAGTGGCAAGTGAACAGTCAGCGGGAGGTGCTGGTTCCAAGCCTGCTCTCGAGGTAGTGGGCTCAGGCCCATCAGCTACCCCTGTAGCTGGGGAAGACTTCTGCCATCCTGGCAGTGAGGCTGGGCTGGCCAGCCACCACGGACCATACCGACTGGGCCTCTGATGTTCTTCCAGTGAGGCATCTCTCTGGGATGCAGAACTTCCCTCCATCCACCCCTCTGGCACCTGGGTTGGTCTAGTCTGAGCTTGCTGTGGCCTTCCCGGTTATGAGAGCCTATGATCCTTAGATGTGTCTCCTGTTTCAGACCAGCCCCACCATGCAACTTCCTTTGACTTTCTGTGTACCACAGGGATAGAGGAATTAAGAGGACAATCTAGCTCTCCATACTTGGAACAACCAAACCAAATGTGCATTGAATACTCTGAAACTGAAGGGACTGGATCTACAGGTGGGATGAGGGGGACAGACCACTTTTCTATATTGCAGTGTGAATGTTGGGCCCCTGCTCAAGTCTCTCCTGATCACCTCAGGGCATAAAGCATGTTTCATCCTCTGGCCCGACAGTGTCTTTGCTCAGGGAGGGGAAGTGGAAGGGAAGGGCATGTGGGGTCAGGACAGGGCCTTGCAGGGGAGCAGCCTACATAACGACTTCTTTGGTCTTTACCTGCTGGGGCCAACCTGGTCTGGGTCTGGGGTTTGGGGAGCTTGAGCTCAAGATGTGCTTTAAGTGGCTTAAAGGGACCAACTGAGATTGGGGTGGGTTGGGAGGAAGTGCTGGACATCAGGCTGGGAGGTGAGGACCTAAGTGTGTATGAGCTGGGCGTCTAGAGGAGGCATCAGCTTCTGGGCTGTAACTAGGGCCAGTGGAGCCACAGCGGCCCTTGCACCTGCCAGAAACATCTTGGCTCATCAAGACACATCCAAGAACCCCAAGAACAATGCTGCCTTGGGTTAAATCTTCATGTCCAGTGGGTGCCAGTAAAATTTTGCTTTGTGACCAGCATGGGACAACCAGGTATGGCCATGACTGGAGTAGGTCTGTGGGTGCGGGCTTCAGACTGGGAAGGTGTGACTAAGGGGTGGGGCATCCTTGGGCTATGGCTGGGATGAGCACCTAGAGAAGTGACAGTGGAGAATCCCCTTGCTGGGAGGGTTTGTGATCTGCCCTCAAGGTCACATACTTCAGCAGAGC